AGTTTGACCTGCGGGGCTGGGAGTTTGCACAGGGGGTAATCGAGCATGCAGATTACGAATACAATATTAGCTTTCAAGATCGTCCATTACTTTTATCGATTTTATCGATTTTTTGAAAATTTGAGCTAGGGGGCTGGAATTTGGCACAGCGGTGTAATCGAGCACGCTGATCACTCCCCTTGGGGATGATCAGCATGCTCGATTACCCCCCTGTGCCAACTCCCAGCCCCCTAGCTCAAACTTTGCAAAAAAATCGATAAAATCGATAAAAGTAATCGATAATCCTGAAAACCAATATTGTATTCGGAATCCCCATGCTCGATTACCCCCCTGTGCCAACTCCCAGCCCCGTGGGTGAACTCTGCAAAAAAATCGATAAAAATCGATAAAATCGATATCGATCGATGACGAAAAGTAGCCTATGACACCCGCCGGGGACCGAAGTGTATGTGTGCCAAGTTTGTCCGGATCGGTTCAGAAATGGAATTTTCTATTCGGAACATACGTACACACATACATACATACATACATACATACAGACAAACAGACATTCAGCTTTATATATAAGATAGTCTCCCTTAGTCTAGTTACTTACGCTAAAATCTATATTTCTCTAAAACTGGAGCTTTTGGGGAGCTGTGACTTTGTGTTTGTACTTCTGTATAGTAGTATGCAAGTACTTATTGAGGGACAGCACAGCATCACTTTGGCCGAAGCATGAAAATCTTCGTTTTCTTGATTTCTAACCGGAGAAGAAATACGGCGATGGCGTATGTAAACGTCTTAAGCGAATAATGTCGACGTGAGCAAATTAAAATTTGAGAATTTTTTTGGACGGAGCTACAAGTCAGGGCTCGGCACGAGTTGGCACCAGGGAAATTTCAAAACGAAGTCCCGTTTGATCTTGAAAATTTCGTACGAAGTCCCCTTTGACCTGTTTTGAAAACCCGTCATTATTTTTATATTATGTAAAGGTATGTAGTAGGGTTTTCATGCATGCTGATTTCATGGAACAACTTTTCACAGCTTTCTGAGCTTTTTAAGTGGTCGAGTGAGTTCTTGAGAAGCAGAAAAAGCCGATTTTTTGACTGTAGAGAGGAGCGAGTAATTTTCAAATGGCTATTGAACGCTGAAATGAAAGCATTATGAAACTGTTTCTTCTTTCTATGTAATCTTTTACAGTATAGATACGTTTTATGTAAAAAAAAGTATGAAAACTTATGTGAGCAAAGTATCGGTGCCAGCTCAGCTGGCACCCAGCTGGCACGGTGCCAGCTAATTTAGAAAAAAGTTCGGCGCAGCTTTCATTAACATAAGTTTTCATAAATTTTTGGGCCATAGTTCGGGTCCACCAACGCGCATACGCACACCAAATTTGGTGTCATACTATTGCGTTTTGGCTGAAAACAGCGCCTTCGTTTGTTGATGGAAGCATGCCGGTGGCATGCCGGCGGCATTTTTGCGGCACTTCTCCGCCTCGGACCCCCGGAAAAACGATATCCCCTTTGCTTTCCGCCCTAGAAACGATATCTAGCTTGATCCGGTGCCAGCTGTGCCGAGCCCTGCTACAAGTTCTTGATTATTCGGGCACTTGAATCCTTTCAGTTTTCGGTTTAAAACTCGAGAAGGATAAGAGATGCTGCAAAATCAAGATAGCCATCTTGTAGGACTTACTTTGCTCTATCGAATGCTTCTTTGCAACCTACGTAGAAATGAGAAATGTATAAATTATTGCGGTTGAAATTCAAAACGGACGGAACTTTTGTGAAAACCTGATACTTGGGACGGCTTTTTGCAAGTTTTTGAAGAGAAATTTCGCTTTTCCCGTTGTCATGCCTAGTCGCGAATTAGGTTTGTGCAATGTATTTGTTTGGAATGTGCCTCTTCATGAAGCATCCATAATGTCGTTCTCGTGCATGACTTCTTGCAGACACCGCCACAATAATGTATGAATCGTACTGCAATGTACACAACTTTGAAAATTCGTAACGAGCTTTCTTGCTTAAAGTGGACCTTTGAAACCAAAGTTGCGAAAACAGTGGGAGAATGCTTATGGTCTACAGTGCCTTTTCAGTAAGAGAGTACTGCGACCTGAAAAAATTTTAAAAATCATACGCATATTGCTGATGTGCCCAACTCCGTTGCTTACATGGTGACAAACAGAGTGAGAATTTTTCCAGAAATGGGTCACGAAGTTCTTGAAGGTAAATCGCCTTTGATGTGAGACTGTACAGAAGACCTGCTTTCATTTATAGATAATCGAAACTCAAGTTTATAAAGAAGAAACGAGCACCATGAGGAAAAATTCTTTTTTTTTTCACAGTTTTTCGTCGCTGGTATATTTGGTTATATTTGATTTAATGACGTACGTTCAGCTATAATTCAGAAACATAAAGACGATGACCCCCTTCTTATCGCGTACGGCTTCGACAAGAGGAAATTCTTCCTTTGAAAGGAATTCCAAACAGCTGAAAGATTTGAGTGCCTTCTTTATCCAAGAATTAAAATGATTTTCATGACGGAATGAAAATCTGTTATGACCATAGAGAAGCGAGGTAAATTTTGTTCTGTTTTTGACGTGCCGTTGGCACAAGTTTCTTACTGCACTATAATAAAAGACTAGAAAGATGATAAATCAACACTTCAGCATTATTCAACAATGGAAGGTTACCCACGCGCTAAAAACATTTGATGATTAATTATAATACAATATTATAATTACAATCTACTTCAGGAGATAAATGAAGTAAATTTTCTCAGATGCTTGTGAGAGGCTGTTAAAGACAGCGTCCAGGCAATTCTGGACCTATGGGGATTTTACGTGGAAAGTACTTTTGGGGCCCTAACTAAGCCACTGCCCAACCGGCAGCTCAGGTAGTGCCCCAACGCCTGAGATATTCCTCTCGAAACTGGACCCCGCGACCGTGTTTCGCATGGATTCATGGCGCAAAGCGTGGATCCTGGTGCGAAACTGCCATGAATCCATGCGAATACGTTCGCGGGGGCCAGTTTCGAGGGGAATATTTCAGCCATTAGAGTACTACCTGAGCTGCCGCTTGGGCAGTGCCTTAGTTAGGGCCCCAAAAGTACTTTCCACGTTAAAGCCCCATAGGTCCAGATCTGCCTGGACGCTGCCTTTAAATGAGATGTCCCGAAACTGCTTAAAGGCAGTGGCTCAGGACAATTGCAATTGCGAGCTTTCCATCCCTCCTTGGTCTTCTGAATACGCTGAACCTAGTACTGTGCTTGAAAGGTAAAAAAGCGCTTTCCATGGCGTTTTCCATGGCTAAACGAAAGGGTAAGCGATCGCCAACTGAGTCGCGACTGGCTGACTGAGTCGATCGGCGAACTGCCGCCAAAATGGTGGTGTTACAGTATCCTGCAGCCAATCGTTGTCTTCTGGCGGGAATCGCTCGCCCAGCCCCTCAGCAATCATCAAGGCTGGAGGAAGCCAAAAAAATACTTTTTGACTTTTTCAACATAATCCCGAACTCAGCGGATCCAGAAGGCCATGTAGGTGTGAAAAGCTCGCAGTCGCAATTTTCCCGAGACACTGCCTTTAACGCTCTAAATTACAATAACGAAATGAAAGGAGGTGCTCAAATAAATAACAGATTCCGGACCGAGAAATGATAGCGATGACGATCTAAATGTGCTGCACTGCACGCTTACATCTAAATTCACAAGGAATAAGCAAAAAATTCGCATGGGAAAACCAGCTAGAACTTCGTGAAACGCTTTTTTGGCCGAGGTTTGACGTTTTTTGAAGGAAGACTACTGTTTCCCAGGAAATGAAGGCAGAAATTGCTGAAGATGGTGAACTATCAACAAAAACATTCCATATTGGCTCTACATAGGCTGCATGGTCAACTGAAAAACAAAAGATGAAACATTAATTTGAGCGTGAAAGTAGAGATTATGGAACCAAACGAAAATGGAATAGTATGTTTGGTTTACGAACAATCCCATAATCGATTGCATGTTTCCTGATTAGTGAGGCAAAAAATTTGGATCAAAGGCAGAATCGGCAAATTTGGGCAGCGACAGTTCTTGGGTCAGTACACTTCGTCGAAACGGACTCAGCGTCCTCAGTACAGCAATGGGCAAGAGTTTGAGAAGTCCTGGTCAGGAATTTTCCATGGAGGTGGACATAACTTAGTTGGAACTCCTCTCAGCTTCTATTTAGTAGCTCAGTGCTCGGACTTGCCTGAACACTAGTTCTAATGAATTGGGTGTGTCCCAGAGTAGACAAAATCAGCACTTTGGAAGTTAGAACTGATGGATTGCAAACATGATTTCCTATAGCTGCGCTATTACTCCGAAATTTGAAAAAATTTTCAACTTGGAGCAGGGCAGTGGCGAATCGTGGAGGGGGGGGGGGAGGGGAGTGAGGCACCCTCGCGAATAGAGGCTTTACGGAAGTCACTTACATGAGTTACGAAAATGTGCAATTGACTTATTTTAGAGGTCCGCAGAAATTTTGGAAAACATCAGTGAAGAAAGTGATCTGACCACTGCTTCATTGAAGCGCTAGAAAAAGTATTACACTATCTTTGTCCTACTTCCACATTCAGTTTTTTGCTTCAATAAACGCTTAGAACTCCTCGTCCATGAACCTTCCACAGTTTAGCGATGCAGGTTTAAAATCAGCGTTTTAGTCCTCCAATATGGTGTAAATCGCATCTAAAAGGGCCCTTGCGACCAAGCATGCTTTTCTTGTCATGTGAATAAGCTCTTGAGTATGCTCTAACTAGGAAATATCCTTTTGGTTACGCAAAATCAATATTAGGTCGTAAAGTTCTTGGGCGGTTTAGGAAACATTCCATCTCGTGATACTATTTTTCGCGCTCGTTCAGATGAGATATTTTATTTGCAAACGTCACTAGAAGAAGATATGCTTTCTAATCCCACTTTTATTCAATCGATCGATATCACTGTCAAAATGTTCTAATTCGTGCTGAAAAAGACTAGCATTCATAAAAATCCTCCTACACAGCCACACATAAGAGAACAACAGAAATCTTTTACCCGCGTTTGTTACTAATAACGATGATTATATTTTGAACAGATAAATAGATCGAAAGGATATAACACAGTGATAAACAAGCTGTCAATTCTTGGTGGCAACAGCCTGCTGTGGTGGCATCGTTGATGTTTCCATATTGACGAACATGTCAGGATCGTAGATCACGCGAACAATCAAGGAACAGCTTGGACACGTAGCAACATCTTCTCCCATTTCCAGCATCTCCCTGAAAAAGGCAGGCGCAATCTATCGAACTAAAAAAACACAAAATAGTCGTGACTTTCACAAGGGAGGTCCGATTAGTCAAAGAGGCCTCTCCAAATGAGTCTGAAACCACTCTGAAGAGTATCAAACGGTAATTCTAAATCTTGTTTCATTATCTGTCAGCATCTCTGCATACCGAATTATGAATATATTCTTGGTGCGAAAAGTGAACAACCTGAGTAAAATCAATTTTTATGGCATTTTCAATGCTCAAACAGAGCAGTATTGATTTTTTTGAGTATGATTGTTTTGGAAGAAGGCATACTCCAAATGGAGTGCTTTAATCAACTTGGATGATTTGAGCAATTCTGACGAATTTTGTTCTAATTAGGCGTTCAATTTTTCAACTCAAAAAACGCTCATGACTCGACATCCAAAGGCGCCCGGCAGATAACGAAAAAGTTTGGAATCAGCGTTCGATGCTCCTTATAGTCGTATCAGTTCCATGTGAAAATTCGACCAAACGGACCTCCCTTGTCAGTTCCAGTTATTCGAGCAAGACAAACAAGTCCAAAAAAATTCCGCGGTTTTCTCTTCCGGTGCGTCACAAATTCCATCAGTTGGGTCTTAAAGGATTATACTTCCTATCGTAATTACCTTTGCGAGTTTGCGCATTACGTATTAGCATCAAACACGGAGGATATCAGAATCTGAACGTTTCGTGACCCAAGACTACCGGACTCAAAGGCAATGGATCAGCAGAATGGACCTCTGTCAGATTTTGGTAGTGTTAGGCCCCGGTCAGACTTCACGCGACTTAATCGTCGCGACCAAATCGCCAAGATTTCCATTCATTTTCAATTCACATTCAAAATTTTCGGTCTGGAAAAGTATCACAACCGAATGCAAGTTGATCTGCATGGAATGATGTTGTAACAGTTGTCTCCTCGCGATTCAGTCGCGACGATCAAATCGCGTGAAGTCTGCCCGGGGCCTTAGATAGTAGGCCCCCCAAATGCACCGTAGCCCCAATCCCACCCTCCACTTTATGCTCTAAGTCCTGTAATGGAGATTCAAAACCCCACCAGTCCCGCCCACTTTCATTGAGGGGACGTCAATGCTGAATTTTGAAGCGCTTTTTCAGGACTTAGCGCATGAATTGGAGAATAGGGTTGGGGCTACGGTGTATTCGGGGAGTCTATTACCTAACACTACCAAGAGGTCCATTCTGCTGATCCACTGCCTTTAAGTGCGGGAGATGGGAGACGGTCTTATGCACCGCTAGCCCTAGCAGCCTAATTATTGCGTACCTTTGCCAGGCCCCGCGGGGATTGGGCAAGGAGGAAGCTGGGCTGCCGTTATGTTGCAATAAACGATGCAATTATCAAAACCGGTAGAGTTGCTTTTTTCAGATACTTAATAATTAAATTTGTAATGATTGAAAAAAATTCGAATTTGAATGTTCTATTATAGTTCCTTCGCATGCGCATGTAGTACAACTCGAAACACGCTTGCAACCTGATCAGCGAGATAGAGGTGCAGCAGCCTCAAATATTATACACAAGCACAGCGCATATGTTTTCGAAAATACTGCTTCAAGAAATCGCTTTCGAGATGCCATTTGATTCAACTGGCTTGGCATCGGCAAAGGCGGGGCTTCGTGACCTAATTAAGGCTAGGTAATGATGAGAGAGCACTCGCGCGAGAGAGATGCAGGTGCATCGCGGGCGCGAGCCGCCACAGGCAGATGACAAAACCCCGCCCTAATGGTGCCAAGCCAGTTGAATCAAAGGTTACGCATATGCGACCTTGCCATCTGGGCCAGATTGAGCCCCACGACGCAGCCGTGTAGAAGAGCATAGGAGCGACGGTCTTTGCCAGGTACCCTCCAAAGTGAAGAGGGTCTCGGCTAGCTCTCACCTTTTAAAGCAAGCTAGTAAGCGAAAGCACTTCGTCTGTTACATTTATTGGAGATTCGGAAAGCAATGAAAGCACTTTATAATTGATGACAGCCGGAGGAAGGTCTTCTGACCACTCAAAAGTTTGTACCCCCCCCCCCCTCTCCCCGTGTCGAATGGCCTTTGCAGATTCAGAGGATATGAGACAAAGTGCTTTGGTTTGCTGTTCAATGTTACCACTGAGTATGCAGCGTTTGGTGAAAATTTTATCGAAATATCGACGAATTTGCGCTATTGATTTAAGTATCACTTTGTAATACACAACTAAAAATTATAAGATTTAGGGTTGAAAAGTCGACTTCCAAGATATTTTTAAGCAAGTGTTTATTAGAAATTTACATTTGTTGATCAGATTTTAATATAGAAAGTGAGAGTTGAAGTATTTTTAAGATTAGTTTTATAACTGTTTACGTAAAATCGAAAAAGTCAGCTTCTAGGACGACACAGAGCACTGAATCTGACAAGATTAAGAAGTAAAACCTAAATCGAATCGTTACCGTAACCAAAGCAAGCCGTAAAGTTAAATGCGCACCTTCGCAGTCATACATTGCACCATATTCCACGCCTAAAACCACTATTCCGCGTACTTTTTGTTCCTGCAACCGAGATAAGATGCTGAAACTGAAATTTTGAATTTCGAAAATTGAAGTTCAGTAAAGAAAATGATGGAATTGAGGAAAAGATTAAGATTCAGATGTTTTCGAGGTTGCTGTTTCCACTTTTAGTAGTTGCTTTGCTCAAAAAAATTGGGTTTCGAAACAAATTTCGAATTTATTCAATGGAATATTTCCCTTCGTCGCCACTGAACTGGTATTTAATTCCAATGTAATCTAGACATTAATTCCTGAGATTGGAAGTGTAGCAGCTCTGTTATCATTGATTTTGTTAGAAATTTATTATTCAGATCACAATCTTCACTGTAGAGAATTGGTCGAACTTGGACTTTTGGACACTGATTTCTGAAACTTGTTTCAAAACCCAGTTTCATGATTTTTTAAGCAAAGCAACTATTGAAACTGGAAAAAGCAACTTCGGAAACATTTGAATCCCAATTTTTTCGTCAATTCGATCATTTTCTTTACCGAACTTCAATTTTCGAAATTTGAAATTTCAGTTTCAGCTCTTATCTCGGTTGTAGGTTCAAAAAGTGGGGGAACGGTCAGGAGTCACGGTCGGCGCGAATTTTCCGCGAAGCGATGCCGCAGGCGATGTCAGCAAAACAGAAGCGCCAGCACTCCTGGCGCAGTCTTACTTATGGCACGAGCCATGTATCTGCCCCCACCCCCCACCCCCCTAGACTGGCGCCGTGCCACTTTAGCACCGGGCAGTTTGGGGTACAAAATTTGGACGCGACGTGCGCGGCGAAGCGGCGCGGCGCGCGTCGTGACTCCTGACATAGAGCCCAAAAAGTGCACGAAACTGTGGTTTTAGGCGTGAAATATGGTGCAATGAGTAACTGCGGAGATGCGCATTTAACTTTACGGCTGCTCTGCTTACGGTAACTATTCGATTTAGGTTTACTTCTATAATAATCTTGTCTGAATCTGTGGTATCCGATGTCTATTTTGCAACGAAAATTGTGCAGTTTTCATACTTTCAAGCCGAGAGATGTGCTCGCGAACCCTCTCCAATATGGCGGGGTAAAAGAATTTTGCTGAGCTGAGAGAAATATGGCGGTCGCAAGGTGTTCTGACCGAGATAACAGGTAGCAAACGAGGAATGCAGGACAGGATTCACCCACCAAAGTCACACTGCGCACGGCGGTTTATCGTAGTTCATTAATCGTGGATATAAAGGCTTCGCGAAAAACTCGCGCATTATGATTCCTGATCGTCTATCTACGACGTTCGAAGAGAGAACTACATGTTCAATGGACATAAGCAGATGCTCACTAAAATGGATGGCTGGAATGTACTACAGAACTCATGAGTGCGCGGAAAACAGGAGACCGCAATTTTCTCTGTTACTTTGTGTTAGCTGGATGCCACTCGTATGATCACGTTCTCATGATGTATACGATCGCATACGCAAATCTAAGAACATTTTCTGGGACACTGCATATCTCACCAACTCTGACAGCGCGAAGTTGGACACGCACAACCGATGTCATAATCGTAAACAAAAGCTTGAAAACCCTATTAGACTACAGGTTGAGCAAATTTGGAATTCGGATCCACCCATGTACAGCAATCCCTGGAGGACTGCACTAGCGCGTAAGCTTTAATATCCCTAATTAGCCCACCAATTAGCCAGTCAAGCTTTTTAGCAAAATTCACGTTCGATTTTCGGGGTCAAGCAGTGCAGCGGTATACCAAATAAGAATAATAATTTGATAATAATGTCAAGAATGTACGAATAAAACACTGCGGAGAGAAATACCCGACATAAAATCTTACTTTGTGATCTCAAATCGATCTCCACACGGGCAAGGATAATGATAGAGTTCCTTCTCTTCATCGTACGTAAAATCTTCTATTTCCACTTCATCATGAAAGACAGCCATTTTACCTAAAACTGTATACTAAATTAAGTTCCTCACAATGGAATCATCGAAAGAGAAAAACGTACGGAAAAGAAGCCGATTTATCCAGAGATATGCAATGATTTGTTAACGCAAGATAATTACTAGACAAATTAAGTTATGACTAAGGAACGGAAGCGCTCAAATAAAGAGAGCCCAGAGCCAGTAATTGAATGGCGAAGTTACGAAACAGGTGATAAAATAGTCGTAGAATCAAATGCAGAAGATGCAGTTAACGAGCATTTGATTCTACGTCTCAGCTCCACATGATCTTGCTCTTTTCTCCATTTGGACGTTTCGTAAGTCAGGTAGCAGTATCTGTAATACCAAACTCAGATCATCACAGGCTCTGGACTATTATTTTGCGTTGCTAGAAGCCCAAATGACTCCGGAGAATTGAGAATTCATGAAGTGCGCCGCCATGCACTTCTGCATTTGCAGAATCTGTCCTTTGAGGACGGGAATTTGTATTTTTTGGCGTGCGGGATGGATGCTATGAAAAAGCTTTGTTTGTGTTTGCTGTTATAGCTGGTTGTCGCTGCCAGTGCTCTGATTGCAATCCATATATCTCGCAATGCATCTTAACCTGGCGAGTTTTGGCTGTACTGTAGTTATTTTATCCATCCCCATCTGCCTTTGCTGTGATGCGTAATTTAAGGCTCTATGTGCGATACGTTACTCTTTATTTTATGTTTTTTCGGATGATTTCGATCACGGTTGTATGTTAATTGAATTGTTGAGACTGTCCAATGCCAAGAACTTACCTTATATGTCGGCTATCTTGCTCCTTTCATATTCGTCCTCTAGTGACAAACATTCCAGATGAATGATGTGAGGTTCGATCCAGACGATTATCAGTTTAGACCTCGTACAACGGCGGCCTTAGAGCCAACCTTCCACGAAGTTCTTGACAGCCCTTCAATCGAGAACATGAGGGCGATCCTGAAAACCTGGGATGATACTCATAGAGCAGAGGGCTTTGACCCACTTCCTACATTGACAAGGTACTTTGTTTATTATGATCAAATCGTTCATTACGTACCGAAAAAAAAAACTTTTAATTAGTCATCAGCTCGAGATAGGAATTCTGCGATATCTCCATTTTGTCCCAAGGCTTTGTCTGAGCTGCAGTATCTGATGCTCAATTGATTGCAGTCCATTTTCAGTATAGCAGAAATTATTGAGCAAGCAGTCGACGATTTTCTAAAATTAGACCCTGATCCTTTGGACGATCGGCACCCTGCTCGTACTCATCCACATGCTGAATTTGGAAATCTTCTGAAATTGTTATTCCGTAATGACGACTTCATGAACAAGGTGATTCTCTTTCCGCGTTAATCATCCGGCGTGCAACTTTTTTACTTACAGCTCGTTATCTCTTACCTTCTCGGTCGTGACAAAGCTGAGCTGAGTGCCGCAGCTGCGAGATTACTACTCGACTGCGTTCCTGGTTTGGATGCCGCAGTAGTTTTTGCGGTTAGTATCAACCTTATTCACACATTTTGTGTCGAGGTAAAAGTTTCTGCTTGGTAAATAGTAATGGGTGTGGATGTTAGTACGCCACATCCAAAGAATTGTGCAAGGCCATGAGAAGGGGGTATGAGGGAGATTAGAGAGAATTATCGTTACTGGACTTCCACTTCTTTGATTGAAATGTCTTTCAAATTCAGTAGAAATGCAGATTAGTTTAGTTAAAGTGAGCCTATATAACCCTAAAGTCCGTGGAGGTGCAGCAGGGTCATAAGACGATTGTCAAGTAAAATCAAGAAGTCTTTGTTATGCTTTCCACTTTTTTTCGGTTCCCAAAATAGAGAGAGATTGTCGGCCCTCCCTCGCGCCTTCCCAAAAATTTCTTCGCAAAGCCACTGTTGTAGAAGTCTAATCAACCAACTGTAAAGATGTTTTTTGCTTCATAATCATGCTTTGTTAGATGAGTTTTCTAAAATAATGGAATCTCACTTGTTTAGGAGCCAAGCGATTTTGTGCCACAATTGTATATCTGGGCAAAAGATAGCTCGAATGAGTCCTTACGAGCTTACTCTTTTGGGTTATTAGCATCTGCACTCGAGGTTCAAGGAAATGCACACAAGTACCGACTTAACAACATCGATCTCTTACCGGTTGCTCTTCGAAGGCTTGGCGAGCTGAAGGTTTGATGGTTGGCCGTACAGCCGTAAAGGGCAGTTTATCAATTCAGGCGCGCATGTTTGAAGAACGCACCTTAGCTGAGCAACAAGGCACCTCAGCGAAGGAGGGAGAGCACTGCAATGGCTCCAAGGATGAAGAGCATCGCAACGGCTCTCCCGGGCCATTCTCAAACGTGAATGGTTTGGATATGGAGGAAACAAGCTCTGTGAGTTTTTATTCAACACAGTCAGGTTGTATGCAGCAGTTTCACGATCAAGATATTACATTCAGGATGGTCAAGCTGGCGGAAGTTCCAGTAACGAAAATACGAGAATGAGTGGGAAAAGGACGGGAGATGTTGCGGCGCTCACTGCTGCTAGACCCAAAGGTAATTCGCTAGCATCTCGTATGTCGATTACTCGACCAGCCGAATCCAAGTTTTTGGCTATGTGGCTTTTCCATATTCTCTCCATCAGGTTTAGCTCCGTCTCTACGTGTACAAGCCCCGGCACCGCCTTCTAAGGTCAGTCCCGATGGCTCTCCTCCACCGAAAAAGAAGAAGAAACTCGCGAAGGTATCTAAATAGTTTGGCAACTTTTAATGATCACAGTTGCCCTTCAGAATGAAAGAAAAACGCCTGTCGAAATTGCAAAAGTCCCATCATTTGCATCACTTCATAATTTTGAGAACAGTAACAGCACGTGGAATGTGATGCAGCCCTATGTTATAGGTACTCACAAGGTGAGTTCTGCTTCAGGATGTCTTGAAAGGGTATAGTACAGCATCTTGTGAAGTGTAAAGTACATAATCGGAAATTGCGTTTTCTGAGGTATACGAAAGCTTTAGTGAGGGTTGTAGTACTGATTAGATGTCAATAGTTTTGCTAACATCAGTTTATAAAAAATATGAGCTTCTATCGTAAGTTGCCTATCAAAGACCTTTCTGTCTCACATAAGTGATCCAGGTATACCCGCTATCTACCACGATGTACCAGAGGCTTATCTTGCAGTACCTCATCCCTACAGGAGAGTACCAAGATGTGAGTCTGATTATCTGTTGCATTTAAGATCGTGTCAGCTCTTACTTCAGTTACTAAACCTTGCCATCGATGGACACGCGTTGGATCTCATTCTAGAATATGTTGATTTAGAGAAAATCAATGATATCAGACTAACATTTGATGCTCTTAGGGTCAGTTGTTTTACATTGTACTTCTCACCTTTCTGTTTCTTTCCATGAGAAACTTCTTGTTTTCATTTCGAACTCACTTTTGTTTGCTTTTCTTTCTTTGCATAGAATGTGTATGAGATGTTTATAATCGTAGATAGATAGACCTTAGATAATCGTATTTATTGCAGTATCTAACTTCACTTCTGGTTCATCGGAAGTTTGCTCTGGAATTTATCGCACGGGGTGGTGTAGCTGCCCTTGTACGAGTGCCACGAGCTTCCATGGCATCAGCAGCATCCGTCACTGCATTATACTATCTTTCGTACAATGAGGAAGTCATGGAAAAAGTGTGTCAGCTAAATGACAAAGTGCTGGACGATGTTGTAGAGTAAGTTCTTTGTCCACTTCTGCTTATCTTCTTGCAAATCCGATTGTATTCAGTTACGCTTTATGGTGCTTGGAACATAGTTACGAAAGTGGCATGGGAAGTGCAGCCATGTTTTTCACGCATGGGTTCTTTTATAAACCAATTCTGGAACGATTCGATCAGAGGGATGGGCTGAGAAGATTGTACAACTATGTGAGTTTGCTGAAATCAAAGTCGCTTCATGGTATGTGTTACTTTAGATATCAACTCTGACATTGTTGCAAGAAGCCAACAAAGACAAGGTTGATCTTACGGAGGAACAGCACCTTACCAGCTCACAAGCGATTAGGAACGCTTGTACCGCTTTCAAAAAGTGAGTATTTAGAAGATAGTCGAAAAAATCAAGTGGTGATTTGTAGTTATCTATCATCTCATCTTTTCTTGAAACTGGAGCAAATTCGTCGAACAGTTGGCAACAGAATACTTTTGGCTGGCTGCAACTACCCCTCTGGTCTGCATAACAACCACCCATCATACAAGGTACTGTTTTTTTTACATATCCATCATTTTTCTATCCATCTATATATAGTCGATGTATTTGGACGACGATTCAATCAGAGATGGTGTTTGGCTACTTACCACTGCTCTCCGAGCTTCCAGTTCTGGATGGAAACCAGTCGATGATGCACGAAAACTGGGCTTGATCAGGACACTGTTTGGGGTGATGATACTTACTCATGAGCTCGGTCATACTGGAAGGTATCATCGCATCACCGGTTAGCTTCTTGGCTGTTAGCTCTTGCTTCCTAGGTTTGAGACTGCGTTGAATGCCCTCAAGACGCTATGGTTATGCTCGTGCCTTCCTAAAGTGCAACTGGAATTTTGTGAATCCATGCGTTTACCGAATGGAAACGACTCCGATGGAATTCAGTAAGTAATCATTATCAGCTTATGCATACGTTTTTGCTGATAACAGCTCAGCTTCTCAAGTGTTAGATACTCTTCTGGTTTTCATAGCCTTTAACTTCGCGCCAATTGTAGACAATAAAAAATTTCATTCAGGATCTTAATGGAAATCATAGGCAGTGTCATTCTCAATGATTCGGACATCAAGATAGCCGCCCTCAACGTCTTGATTAACTGCATCTCAGTTCCAGAAGAAATGTGCAAAGTAAATGACCAAGTTTTATCTCATTACTTTCTTATATCAGAGCTCCTTCTATAGTCGCGAAATGAGAGCAGCGACAAGAAAGAGAAAGACAAGGACGGAAGACGCAGTAGAAGTGCGTTCAGCAATCTACAGACGAAGGAGCATTGCGAGAAAATTTGGGCAGCCACTCGGAAGTATAATGGAATCAATGTTAGGCTCCATATATACAAATCACAAGTCATATTCACTGTTTTTGCAGATACTCCTGACTGCTATCCGTGTCAATAGTCCCATAGCCGACGCTGATCAAACGCGTGCACTAGCATGTCGTGCCTTGCGCGAATTCTCCAAGTGGGAGCCCATTCGACAGATCCTCTCAAAGCTTCCATTTATCACAGGCAATGAGTTGCAAGGTGGGGCTCCTTTGATTCTTAGATACGACAAACAGATCAGCTTAAATGTTTAGGACTTATGCGACAACCTGTTATGCTAGAGAAACGATCTGAGCATCTGAAATTCTGTGAGGAAGCCAGAAAACTGATTGAGACTGTCACCCAACGGCCAATGATGGATCAGTTAGCGAACCCGAAGGATCTCACTGAGGTAACCTGATCATTTCGCTATGCTGTATCTTTACTATCTGTTTGTTAGGATCGTCTCTGGAAATCCCATGTGATAGCAAACACGCGAGTTTCTTACAATGAAAAGGAACTCCTGCAGTTGATCCACGATCATCTTGTGAGGAAAGGCCTTCATGCAACTGCTTCACAGTTGGTAACAGAAGCCGAACTGCCCGATGTGCCTGCCAGTAGAGCTCCGACTACACCTGCCAGATTACCTCCCATGGTGAGTCATACAGTAGTCTCTAGTTTTATATACCATTTACGTTACTGCTAATACTTAGCACAATGGGGACACCATGAGTTTTTTATCACATCGCCTTGGATTTGTCTAGTTACAGCCTCGAAACCATTCTTTGGCTATCTCACAACTGCAACCTCGATCGCTCACTCTTCCTGGGGCCTCCGGATTAACCACCACTGCCACTAGTTCGGAATCCTCTGTAACCGTCAACTCCATCAGTAGACGTTATGGTGGAAATAGTACATTTCAACGAGATCAAACGTTTGCAGAACCTTCGCCTGGCCGCGTGCGAAAAATAAGTTAGTTTTATCTAGGTTTTCTTCGGTTCTGCATGTCACTACTTACGCTTATAGAGTCTACCAATCCATTTCCGCAACGACTACAACTTCGAAGTGCTGCAACATATGGTAACCGGGTAGGAACTTTGGAAAGACCTGGATTACGACCATATAGAGGTCTTGATGACATTGTAACCGAATATTTCAGGTCAGATATATCCAGTTATGTCTGTCGTAAGGTACCTACTGTAATATCTGTGATGCGAGCGCAATTACACGAGATTTTTTATCCAACGTTATTTTTATCTTTCACAAATTATTACAATTGGACCGCAACAGCTTCTCATGTTTATGCTAATGACCTGCTCTCAGATTCCATATGTACTTTCGCATCGCAATTGAATCTTCCCTTGTCACGTTTCTTCAGATTCTAGGTGCAAAAATCGCACAAAAAGCAGCACAAGCTGTGCGCGGAGATACTTATAGTAATCTCTTCTGAAAACCGGCTATATGCCTTTCATTTCAGAGTGCAACATTCTAAATGTTCCCATCCAGTAACCACTTGTCCTCCGTTCTCACTCTTCTATCCTCATCGTTGTCCCGAACCACGTACAACGGGATCTGTTCCTCTGAACATAGTGAATAGATTCTCCACGAAAGATACTTTGCCTTACAGTACGAGGTATGTGTTTCTATTCTGCGTACGTTTACGTGGTAGGGATAGTTTACATACTCATGATGCTATAGTTCCCAACGCATGCAACTCAACATTTAGAGCCCTGGTACATTCGAAAGACGAGAGCTATGTGTTCAGTCGGTTTCGGCCATCTCGAACCATCAGCGAACATGATGAAATGTACACTAGTTGTGCTTTCTCGGTAAGTTCAAACGTTTTTCCGAACTATCCTAAGTTCATCTATCAAGATCGACGACGAGCATCTTATCGTTGGAATGTTCACTGGAGATGTGCATTGGATAAACATGGAGTCAGGTGCGGAGGAATCGCATACCCTGTGTCATTCGAGTGGTATAACTTCAATAGTTCCTAGTCAGGTTCGTCATATTCCAGCTATTGTGTTGCTATTTGCTTCTTTACCGGTGAACTCATTGGATTCACTGTATTTACCCGTACCAGTGCTAAAACGCGTCAGTAAAAATTTTGGGGTAGCTGTTTTCTCACTGTTCTGCATCATGCTGAACATGCGAATGAGCTTTATATTTTTCCAAAGCAACTTGATACGGAGTACATACACCATAACTTTTGAGTACGGTGTTGAAATGCAGTTAGGTGGTAATATCTTATTTGAAATTAGGCAGGCGTGGGGGGTGACGGAAGGTTAACCGGGACAATATTTTTGTTATCAACATCAGATGTGATTACAATGCTTGCGACGCACTAACATCCTCTTGAAACAACTATAACGTTGTCTGCTAACGAGTTCTTGGGGTTAAACATTCTAGAGCTTGCTTTTGACAGGCAGAGGAACTGCTGAATTTTGTCCTGGCCTTCCCAAGATGTCTACCATCAGTTCTTGTCAGAAAATGGTGAATCGACATTTTTGCAGATGGTCTTGGAGCGATTGCAGGCGTTTTCTGTGCAATTTCATTGAAAGGTCTCGATTTTTGTGGGCATTCTTATCCTCTTGCGGCATGAGTAGAACTTATCAAATCATCACCGAATCTTTGATTTTACCGATCTGTAGTGAATATGATGTAATATAGGATTGGCAAAACGAGAAGTATTTTAGGATGGCAACTTTCTGCTGACATCTTCCGCATATATCTCACCTCTGTCTGCATTATGGCGATTAGGAGATCAACAGGAGCATGCATTCGATCTACCAGAGGAATATTTCGTTCAGTTTACAAATTTATCGAGTGAAAAAATCATTGGGACATGCGATGTCACTGGTTCTGTGAGTGTTCTTCTACGTTTCTCGCGTAATTTTAGCATTCGATTTTGATGTGAATGGTGTTAGCTGACGTTTTGTGTAGGGCTCAAAAGCTCACACAAAATTAATTACATCATTTCTAATCATTGTTATTTTAGTTATATAACCTCATGATTTATCTCCATCTTTGACTGAAAAGATCTGTAAGTTTCCTTTCAGCTCTATGACACCGAAACTGGCAGACTTTTGCGCAAATTTCGCCGTGACTCTGTTCCTACTGGGTACACACACAATCGTGCTTCATTTTCCCCATGTGATACGATGGTTCTTAACGACGGCGTTCTGTACGATGTGCGAGGACCGGTAAGCCACCTTCCTGGAAAAATCTTTTGTTTTGGTACTCAAGAAAGCATGTTTCATAGGTTGTGCATATGTTCGATCAGCTGAACACTACTGGTTGTAGTGTCTTTCATCCACAAGGAAATGAAATCATCATAAACACTGAAGTGGTATGGCAGTAATTTTACCGCTCGTTTTATTTTTTAGATTTTTCAAGCTCTTACATCAGTCTCAATCTCGATCAAGTTATATCATTTCATTTTAGTGGGATACGCGTACATTCCGTTTGCTTCATCTCGTTCCTGGTCTAGAGCATTGCAAGCTCGTCTTCAACAGCTCAGGGGTCTGTGATCGTTTTATTTGAAGGATTTTGTTTGATAAAAGATCTTTCCTCAGAATATCGTTTATGCTGCTATGTACTCTGACTGTGCCGATGTGTTCCGAAACACTTACTGTGCATCGTTCCGAACATTCGACACTTCCGATTATTCTGTAAGTATTTCGCACACCTTTCTTTCGTGAGACATAAAGTATCCATTTGAGGTGATTGCTACTGTTGATACCAAGCGGTTGCTTCTGGATATAGCCAGCGATCATTCGGATAGATACGTTGCTGTTGTTGAGCGAACTGGGGAAGGTGAAGTAGAGTATATGTTGAATAATGAGGAGACAGTAGTCAGGGCCTATGAGGTAGGCCATCTTGCCCACCGGGCCTTCACTTTGTATAGTTTTTGTTTTAGGTCGGAAAACGTCGTGATGCGGAGGACGATGATGTGGACGAGGTGGAAGATGAAGAAGGTTCTGAAAGCGCACAAGATACAGATTCCATGGGTGAAGCTCTTGATGATGCGGACGAAGATGAAGACGAGAGCGAAGATGATGATGACGATGACGATGATGAAAATGGTGTTTTTGAAGCTATAGGAAGGGTTAGTTCTACTCTTTGCCGACCACCGGGACTAACAAGTGGTTTTTATAGCTTGAAGCAGGGACTGATTCAGAGAGCTCTGATAGTAGTAGTGAGAATGGCTCCTGGGAGACTGCTTCAAATCAAGACGAAAACCATGAAAGTCAGTTTGAATGTCCTAGTTTGTCTTACAAGCGTAGCTGGGAAAAATGTCGCAATTCCTACATGTTGATTCGTTTTCTTCATTGTTTTCAGCAGAGTATTTTATTGTTTCTGGCCCAGCACCCTTAGTCGGTGATTGATTGCCTTAAGCGAAGAGCTACGACTCCCCACTTTTCCGAGCTTTTCTTGACAAAATCTTTGCAGAGGGTCTCATTCACTTCTTCCTTTCGCACTCTGTCATTTCAGTAGTCTTAGCTTGCTCAATTTAAAGTAGGTTTACAACAGACTTAGTGAGAGAATGTTGAAGAAAGCAGCTATCCAAATGTTTCAGTTAGGAAACAGCGCTTATTTTCCATTTCCAAGAATGGTAATTGCAAAAAAAGCTGCGAAGATTAGCCACTGACTTCAGCTATTTGCGGAAACCGCTGAAACGGGAAGGAAGTAGAGTTTATTTACAAAATGACTGAGTAGGATCACAAGGTTATGAATTGTCTATGATTAGTAATACACATGCACACGACTTACCAGCCCGCACCAGTGGGGGGGGGGACGAAAATGTTTTCCGAATAAAGGCGTAGTAGGGTCTAACGCCACCCACTTCGAAAATATTTTTGGAATGCTTCCCAAAATTTGCAAGGGCCCATGACCATAAAATTTTAGAAAAACAGGGCGTGACGGCAGCCATTCAAAAGTTTTTAAAAAATTAAAGACGAACAAGGGATTTCATCCTACAAGAGCGCGATCTGTAAGGTACATTTTTAGCAATGTTTTACGACGCATATCTGAATAATAATGACTGAGAGGGGCGGGGTGGTGGCGGGGGATTCGGAAAGTAGCCTCGTGGGTCATAAAACTGCAAGCAACTTGTTTTAGTTTTGAAAAACCAATTTAGTTTAAAATTCAGATCAGACCTTTAACTGCTTTGCTACTGCCACAGCCGCTTTTCAAAAAATCTAGGGATTATAGACTGCTGCGAGGGATCTAGCGTTACACGCAATAATTTGAAGAAAAATTGCACTTCCCCTCCCCCCCCCCCCCCCCCTCCCTCAATCCCCTCTCCGTTTTTCCCGCGAACAGATTGATATAAATAGGTGTCCCAAGATGTGTGTATAAGGGCCGCATGCACTAACATCCCCGCGGGGAGGGGATCGCAGCTTAAAAGGAATCTTTATATTGCGAAACTCCAGATACCTGGATTTCACGTTGTGTACCTATCCGTAAGTATTCCTACTACCCTTCACTATGAACATGTTGAAGAGGAGCGAGAAGCTGTACAAACCACGTTTTCCAGCTTTTGCATGATCCCTGATGATCCCCGGCGCTTTTCTTTAAAGTCATTTTTTCTTTCTCCGAAGTTAACGAATAATTTTCAAAGTTGTGCAGATTATCCAACCCGACAGTGCTAACTATGTTGCTGGTAAGAACAAATGATGTTTTGAAGTCATGAAATTTTCGATGATCCACAGGTCGAAATTGAGGTTTACCGAAAAATTCGACTTTTTAAAAACACATTTGTTCTCATCAGCAACATGCTTAGCACTGTGTGTTAGATGTTCAGTACAACTTTGGAAGGTTTTCGTTAACTTCGGAGAAAGAAAAATGACTTCAAAGAAAAGTGCCGGGGATCATCAGGGATCATACAAAAGCTGGAAAATGCGGTTCGTACAGCTCCTCGCTCCTCTTAAACATGTTCATAGTGAAGGGTAGTAGGAATACTTACGGATAGCTACACAACGTGAAATCCAGGTATCTGGAGTTTCGAAATATAAAGCTTTCTTTTAAGCTGCGATCCCCTCCCCAGCGGGGAGGTTAGTGCATGCGGCCCTAAGATGGAGTTTTTTTCTCTCTTCAATTCTTCTCGAGCAAAGAGTTCATCTTTTTATCTTCAGATGGCGAGGAAGATGGAGCTGAACGAGAAGATGAGCACATGAACTCAGCTGACCATAGTGAGAATGGAAGTGGTGACGAGGAACAGTTTCAAGTTTTCATGTATGTGTAGCGTCATAGCCAGTCTCAATCTAAGATTTATGTTTTCAAGTTTTAGGCGATCTCCCAGAGAGGAGCATCCGACAAGTAGTTCTACTGCCGTTAATCCACATATACGTCGGCAACGGAGAAGAGAACGTTGAAGGTCATAGTAGAGTGTACACGTAATACTGTAGCGTTATTGCAGAAGAACACGCATTATTTCAGCAGCATTGGGCAAAAATGAAAGAAAATTTACATGCTAACTCAATGTTTTCTCACGCAATTTGTCAGCTATTTTCCATGGGTAATGACACCCGCGTCTGATATAGGCCCTCCGGCCGTTTATGTGTTATCGATGTTGTTACTGTTTTTGTTTTTGTTAGTTTCTTCCAGTGAACAATGTACGGTACAAAAAAGTGATTATGTATCATTGTGATGTTATCGCGAGCTGTTGTTTGTGTATTATCACTTCATCTGAAATCTGCGCTTAGGTGGGTTTCTATGCTCGCGAGCTGTTGTAGCAGTTATAGCAAAACGACTAAAACCACTTTTTGATTAAAGCAAAAGACCTCGTTTTTGATGAAGGCGTATATGCACGTTGTTTGTTGATCTTTTTTTTTGCCTGCCTGGGCGCTTACAGGTATTGTATCGATTTCTATCTGTAATAAATCCATCATTCTTAGTTGGTATTTGAATTATTGATAAAATCAAATTTGTCAGCGATGTCAGGAGATTAGCTCATGGTATAAGTGAGCATAAAATCCTGTGGAGAACAGAGTACTTTTGCGGGAACTTTGCTTGGAAGGGGGTGATGCCTAATTACGGAAATAAAGGCAATCAACGAGATCTTCTTCTCTTAAGCAAAATCAAATTACGCAAACAAGGAAGCGCGAGCTATGAGGTAGCCACTGATGACTGCTTTCTTTGAAAAATTTTCTGTGTGTAAGTAAACTGAAAGAAATAGCTACATTTTGCACAAATAAGGTCTTGAAAGACTAAAAGTGTACATGACTCGACTAAAAGTGACTCATGACTCGAAGAATATACCAGAAAAATCTATGTTTTATTTATTTTCGTTAGAGCAAATTGTCGTCGAGTCGTCTACCGATCGGAGAGCACGCTCACGAAAGAGGAGCAGAGCATAAGCAACCCCGCCCTCCAGCCGCTAATCTCGTTGAATCAGAGAGTATGTGTTTGTCAGTCTTCTTTACCCCTCCTTCGGGAAATTGCCCAACCGATTTCTCTTCCAATCATTCAGAATGGACAATCCGTTTATCATTATGTTTATCATAAAGGCTCCGTATATAAACCGAAACTCATGTCGAAGTCTCATTCGAATTCCCACTGTTTTGCTGGGTAGCCACCAGCCTCCACTCGTGCTGGTCATATTCGCTTTTCGATCGAAATGGCTGAAGAATCCAAGGAGAGCAAGTCCAAGGACAATCTGAAGACGGCCCATGGTCCAGTGTCGGCGCTACATCCACCGCCGTCAAGCACTCCTAAGCATGAGCCGAGGATGTGAGCTGACTTGTGGTTGGCAAGGCAAACCATTCGACTGATAATCTCGTTCAGAGCTCGTTTCACTGCTTCTATACTAGTGTTATGGACTTTGGGGGTGTCTCAAATGATTAGCCAAAGGTTAGCTAGTGGTGCAACGTTACCCGTTGCTCAGTTGCTATTTGTGTTTCTTTGTGCCTACACGCATGAGGTACGTCCTAATTTAGACAAAAGTTAGTCTAAACGAGTAACTCCTACTTAGTGGAACTACGTACATGGAGAAGGTTTGACAAGAACCAGAAGGGCGTATTTTGACATTGTGAACGTGCTAGAGACGTATCAGACCCGTGCAAGAACGATGGGGCACCTATTTGATCCGGGACCACCAACACCCATGGTTTCATTTAGCAAAGAAAAGGTGGAAGGTGAAGACAGACCAGGCGCTACCCATGAAGCCAGTGAAGAGAAGACCGACTTTACTCTCGCTCGGGATGCCGTAAGTCTTTCTGTGCTTGACAGAAATCTACACCTAATCCCTACCAATAAATCTGGAAAATTTACTCTTGATCTGCCGGTTATACGGTAGAAGACCCGCTTGAATAGCCAAATGGAACATGACGATGTCAACATACATATTTCAGCATTACGCTAACATGTATCAAATTGCAATGAAATTCAATAAGGAGCTGGAAATGATGCAAAAAGTATATCTTAAAATTCCTCCGAATTTTCCATTCTTACCTCAACTTCGGTCAGGCTGGAATCGCTGAGAAAAAAGACTCAAAAGAATCGTCAGGCTCTGGCGGTGATGCTGGTGAACTAAAAGGCTCAAAGAAAGAAAAAAAGAAAGCGAAAAGTGGCAGCAAAAAATCGAATAAATCGAAAGGATCGAGAAAGAAAGGCAGTAAGAAGGGTAGCAAGAAGGGCAGCAAGAAAGATAGCAAGAAAGATAATGACAACAATGATCCGAACAATAATGTTCTTAGCAGTGATCGCAATGTTATGAAAATGTAGCCTAAACTCTAAGTTCTTCGATTTTTTGGTACAGAACAGACTGGTCCTTCGCGTTATTCTTGATCTTTGTGAAGAAATTCACAACTAATAAATGTTTTTGGGAATTTGATCTTTTGCAAGTTCTTGATACTAAAGGGTAGATCCGTGTCTGACGAAGCAAGTGCTTTCTAAGCACGAAGGGTAGATGTAGTGTTTGTGCGAATTGGTAATGTGAAGACTCTAAAGATGAGATAGTCCTCCGTCAGCAATATCGTCTCAACGCTATGGAAAACGATATGGAGTTTCTTCTCTTTTTTGAGCGAGAAAATCTATAATACAATAGGCCCAAGCCATTTTCGCCGACATCTCCGTTTAGCCGCGTCCCACAGTAGTCTTTGAGTTTGTGCTTACTCGCTCATATCGAAAAAGAAAATGGTTTCGGCCACTTTCCAGTTTTTCAAAGTCGTGGAATCGGTGACGAACAAGTTAGAGGCAGTGGCTCGTGAAAAATGATGCTGCGAGCTTTTCACAACTACATGGCCTTTTGGAAATATCGGCGAAAGTCCCCGCGAAATGTGCTTTTCATGCAGTTAAAATGGACTTAGTCCATGCGGTGCGATAAGATATCGCATTTGCGAATCCATTCATTCCATACAAAAATGCTTTAGCAAACCTATCTCCAACTTGCCTCAACCTGTTTACTCACTCTTGCAAACTCACTCCCACCAAGTGGTCGATATCTAACTAGGCTAACTTAACTTATGTCAGTCACATGGATATTCCATTCTTTTGAATTTCCTTACACCTCTCAAAAGGTCATTCGCATATTATCTGTGACTATGCATCTAAATTACTTCCAGTTCAACTAAAATCCTAGTAATTCTCGGCTTTTGCTTTTTAGGACTTCTGCGAATGTATCAAATTCTATGCAGAGCTTTCTGCAGAAAGCAAACTTTGGCTGGAATGGTAGTGCAATCTGTGAATTCATTTCCTTTTTTCAACCCATTTTCGAGAGTCTACCATCATTATGGACTTTCGTGGATATCTTCCAGGATCCGCTGAGTCCGAAGCTGTGCCTGAAATGTCAAGAAGTGCTTTTCAAGCGTTTTTCAGCCGTAGAGATTGCTGAGGGGGCTGTAGGAGAGATTCCCTCCAAAAACAGCGACTGGCTGAATGGAACTGTGACTCCACCTATGGGCTCGGACTGAGTTCACGCGATTTGATCGTCGCGATTTGATCGCCGCGATTCTCAATCATTTTCTCTTACATTTTGAAATTTCGAGCTGGAAAGTATCCACAGCCGAAATGCAAGCTGATCGGCATGCAATGAACTCGTAATAACAGTTGTCTTGTAGACGATTGAATCGCGACGATCAAATCGCGTGAACTCTGTCCGAGGCCTATGGCTAAGGGCATACCTCACGCGATTTCAGTCGCCACGCGATCTGGCAATTTGCCAGATACCTTCGAATTCAATACTGTCAGACTCCAAATGCACAGCATGTTTAGTTTTGGTAAGTTGATAAAATGCCCTATATTTCGTACTTTTAGAAACCCCTTACGATGAGTTATGCACAATTGGAGCATTGCCAAATTGCGGCGCGACTGAAATCGCGTAAGGTATGCCCTTAGCCTATGGCGGCAACTGGCTAATCGGCTCAGGCAACCAATCGCGACTCAGTTTGCGGGAATCGCTCGCAGTTCCTCCAGCAATCTTTAAGGCCAGAAAACCCCATAAGAAGCATTTTCACTTCAAGACAGCCCTGGACTCAGTGCATCCTTAAGGCTAAGGAGTGTGAAAACACCGCCTTTGTAATATTTCCGAGCACTGCCTGGGTAGTGTCACGTTTTCTTTACTCTGGATGCGTAAATTTACGGAGTTTACCCATAGCATGTAGCGTGGGCGAAATAAGGTTATCGTCGCCCCGCAGTGACTGGCCGGTCTCCAGCGACGAGACGCACGGTTAGGAAAAGAAACATGTCGTAGAAAGAGGTGGTCCTATGCAAACATCTGCAGCAAACCACGCAGCCATGCACATTACGGGTTTGTATCAGCAATCCGCGCAGGGTGAAGCCTCTTGATGACGTTAGCTGCGTTCATACTGATGCCGAGTCCGGGAACAGTTCCGGCACAGCGCTCAGTTCGAGCGCTGTGTTGGAATTGTTCCCGAAATTCCGGTTTAGTATGAACGCAGCCTTAATCCGCTACCCCGCACTACTAAAACGTTGCGAGAGCACGACCTGTCCAAATGTGCTTGTGCTGGGGTAAGCGAGCCGCCTGCTCCTCAGTGACGCCCATTTCGTGCGGTCGATGGACAACCTATAATTTCATTTCATTTCATTTCATTCATTTCATAGGATCAACCTATGCCAAACAACAACAACAAAAAAATAGTATAAATAACAAACCAAGACATATGCACAATACGAACTCTTGTGAGGATCAAAATTATAAAACCGCGATAGTATCAACGCTGCTAATGGACTGTAGATAACTCTTTAGAACCGTCTTGAATTGAGATAGCTTTGGCGGGAACATACTTTCCTAATTAGTCTATCCATGTCACAAACTGTATGACAAGTGAAAAAGTTTCTCCGTATACATACCTAACCTTGCCCTTGGAATTACCAACTTCCTGAATCCTCCCCTAGTGATGGACACTCTAGTCGGAAAAAAGGTTTTGAAATCCAGACCACACTTACCATATCCAATCTTGTGCGCTATAATAAGGTCGAATTTACGTCTTCTATAAACTAAGCAAGTATGGAAAGCCCAAAGTTCTTATTGCGAATCGTCACTAGATATAAGATCATATTTGAAACCAATCTTACGTATCATAAGTTTCCTAGTGAAACTATTCTGAATTTTCTCAAGGTGGCTTTTGGTTTTGCGCATACTTGGGTTGTACACGACTTCCGTATTCCAACATAGGCCTGGTAAATGACTTGTACGCTGCTATAAACATAGCCGTGTCGTCACTTGAAAATGTCTGAATAAATTATGTATAGCTGCGGTAGCTTTGTCTGCAATCATTTTGCAATGATTGCAGACAATTGAGATTGCTGTTCACTATGAACCCTAGGTCTCGTATTTTTGTTACTTCTCGGAGAGGAATTTCACAGAAGCTGTATTGAAAATTTGGGTTGCAGCCGCTAGGTCCAACATGGAACACTTCTGTTTTCTCCCTAGAGATAGGCAATGACCACTTCTGCGACCATTTATATATTTACTTCATTGAGTGCATTCTGTAGCAAGTTAAAGCCGGATTCATTCATAACAAGACCTGTCTCTAAGGAAGGCTTCAATCCAAGCAATAATGCGAAGACGTATGCCGACCATCCTATAAGTATACTAGTGCCCAACATCTCCCTTGTCTGAGTCACGATAGGCAAAAAAAGCAATATAGGAAACGAGAAAGTGCTTCAAAAGACTGCTCATACAAAACCAGAGCTAGAAGCAATTTTTCGGACGCGCATCATATGTCCAAGGCATTGTCCAGGTCAACTGAGGGGTGGTGGAATTTTGACTCATTGCGGGAGCACGGCTCCTGACTAATGCATTAGTTCAAGTCCGATTGAAAAAGGTGAATTCTGAAGCGAGAAACTAGCTTCGGAAAAAAGGGGCGGTCAACCCCGTCCCCTTGACAAGTTTTGACGTGGCGAATGTGTGTGCTGTAGATCTAATGTGCTACCACATCAAAACTCGTCAAGGGGGGCGGAATTGGCGGACCGCCCCTTTTTTCCGAAGCTATCTCCTCGCTTCGGTATTCACCTTTTTCAATCGGACTTGAACTATTGCACTAGTCAGGAGTTGTGCTCCCGTACTGCTTCAAAATCCCACCACCCCTCAGTTGACCTGGACAATGCCTTTAAAAAGTGGCTGGGCAAATCAGCTAGTGCCAATCAGTCAATTACAGCCGAAATGGGTGGAGTGGCCCCACCCATACAGTCCTCCTGCCGCCCTTCGCTGGTTTTGGCGGAGATCCAGTCCAACCCTACAGCAAAGCACGAAAGCTCTTTTTCACACTTCGAGCGTTTTCAAGCACATTCTTGAATTCAACCCCTCATTGGCCTTCCTGGATGTGTTGAGTTCAACAATGTGCTTGAAAGCGGTAGCAAATTTGCCGAGCCCTTTTCTTTGAAAGCAGCACTCAGGCAAATTTGGACAAATGGGTATCGCACGTGGAAACTGATTTTGCGAGACCGCGCAGATGCAGCTTAATATAAGCGATAAGAGTACTCAAGCGCTAAGTCTCCATTACTATCAGCATCAAGTACAAAATTCTTTATTAATGCGGTTTGAATTTGTACATAAAAGTTTGATTTGCTTTTTTCTCTTCTCTTTAGTAGATTCACTTTTTCGATTTGGACAACCGCCTCCTTTCAGCTTCATTGAATGCCTTGACTATTGGAGAGTCTGCCTATAAGCAAAATTCTTGCAAAAAAAGGCGGCACTAGAAAACTATGATTGTACCAGCTTCTTGACGTCGTAATTTGTCTCTGATTGTGAATGTTGCGCACTGATCAGCGGTTGATCGTCGTCTTCTTGCTGTGACTTTTCAAGAGCCGCCAAGATTTGTTCTTTTGTGCTTTTGTCAAAGTCGAATTGCTGTGTTGAAAAAAAATTTCAGGTACCACAAAGGTAAGGAGGTAATAGCTCACAAACTCTTCCGGCGTATCCCTTCCAGTTTTGCCTTTTTTGGGGGATGTGGGAGCTGATGGCTAAATTTCAAGAGATCAACTTCATGGCATAAAATAGCTGGTTCTATTCACCTTTCTAGGGCTATTTGGCTTGCTAGATTTGCGATTTCCAGCCAAAGAAGGTGCGCTTTTTTGGATGTTGATGTTCGTCTTCGCCGTAGAAGGAGTATTGCTCTTCTGGTTATTGCTGTTCGTCTTGGTTGCCGTTGGAATATTCTTCTGATTATGGCTACTTGTGCTCGTCGTCGAAGTGTTGTTAGACATCGTCAGCGTTCTTGCAGGGCTGCAGCTAGTAAAATGAATATGAACCATGTTGAGAGCTTATCGGGGTTGTTATTCTTATTTGATATACACATGCTAGTTTGCAGTGTATGATAATGGATGGTCGATCTTGGGGTGGTTGGATTTTTTTGCACTGCCAAATTTGTGCAACTTCTTATTATGACTGCCATTTCCGCCATTACACAGGGTGTCTCAAGATAATGTGCACACTGTTTTATAGTTTATAACTCTTGCTTTGATGTCTGCCCGCAAACTTTAAGTACCATTCTGTAGGGGAGGTCCAATTTAGATTTACTTTAGAGAAAAATCGTAGATTGTTCTCATCATTGTGGGATTACGGTAGGAACTTTCAGCATGCAGAATCATTGGGGAATGACCCCCCTCACAATACAAATTCTTTTCAAAATCTGAAAAAAAGTGTGAGAGTTTCCACGCATGCTGATTTCAGTACACAATTTTTTGAACGTTTCTGAGCTTTTTTAGTAGTTACAAATACATTTTTACTTTACCTTACTTTACTTATACACTCAAAGATGTAACACAAAAGAAAAAGAAACAGCAAAATACAATAATAATGAATTTTTGACGAAGGTTATAAGCAATTGTTACAATATGCCCTATATAATTTATGAAGGAAGCATTGTAGTGAAGCAAATTTCTTAATTGAAATCAACGTCTTTTTAGCCCGTATCAGAGTTTTTGCTCGCTTGATTTTTTCCTGAGCAAAAGATGGCCTTCAATGTCCTGAAATCCTTCTCGAAATTTCTGTCATAATTCTAAGTAATGAAGAGCGATCAATGAGTTGATTGACAAGTTGAACCTCCCCCCCCCCCACACACACACACAATGGCGCTCGAAGTCCCCCGAAAGACATCTAAGCAAGAGAGTTGACGATCATACAGTGTGCACATTATTTTGGTACATGCTGTAGATAATTGTCACCATACACTGTATGCTCCTTAAACTTGAAAAAAAGCTAGTTCAAATATCAAAGTTGCCCGAAACTTCTTCCATTTCACTGAAGAATTGTTACTTTTTGCTATCATCCAGGAGAAATTGCTTTATAAAGCTTTTATACATCAAAAAAGTCAGACTTACGATGGCGTCTTGGCGGCGAGTTTCTACTACGGTACTATCACAGAAATGTAAGCGGGGAAGATGACCACTGAACCTCATTTTTCTAGCTCGCCAAATATAAGTCTGCAAAATCTGAAAGAATCTGAAATGTCGATGCTTAGGTTTTACGACCTACTTTGTCGAAATATACGCACCATTAACCGAATTAACCTAGGAATTCATCATCTGGAAGTTGGACGAAATAAAATAGCCACTTCTGCACTAAGAATTGAAACTGTCACCTTCAAAAAACTTGAACTACGGTTCCTGTTTTCATGTCACCTTGCAGATTTTCAGAATTACAAGAACATCATAAAGTGATAATAGAATCAATTATACCCACTTTCTGGTAGTGGCACAAAATTGTTACCTGAATCGATGCTCTTTTCAAACCTAAAAATCTGCAAATTATTGGGGCTGACATAAAATATGAGGATTGGGACCATAGTGCAATTTTTTTGTATCAAATGTGCATTACACCAAAAGGAGAAAAGTTGATACTTCAGAAGGCCTGGATTCAAGTAAATCTAAAATACTACAAAGCTTATGGCAGAGAGCCAACCACTGATGAGGATCCATATCGCTGGCAGGGAAAGGCAGGGTTGAGCAAGAGGTCAGGCACAAGTCCTTCAAAAACGACCCCCCCCCCTGTGAAAACCCCTAAACGACCTCTCCGCTTCACCACGTCCTCAGGATGTCATCTTTTGAAGAAGACCAGCTCTCAATGCAGGTTTCTATTCAAAAGTCTGTAGGCACGGCTTTCTGCGATTGCACAACTACACGCAACTTGATGGTAAGTTTTGGATCTCGATAGCCCTCTTTTCAGAGCTATAATTTTCGCAGGGATGGCGTGTTTGGCTCCAAATATTCAATATAGCAAGAAGAGGCTTTGCGCTCAATACTCATACTTAAAAAGGGGCGATTTTTGAATATTGAAGTTAATGGGGTCAGGCGCAGCCTCTCAAAAGCTCAGACCTTTTAAAGGGTTGCGCCTGACCCCATTAACTTTATTTTCGAAGAAGCTTTTCTACCCAAGTTTTATGTGATTTGCTAGCTCAACCCTCAAAGATTCAATAATAAGTGTTTGAGCTTGAGTAGACTTGTTTCGGCTTTGTGCTAATCCGAGAAGTTGAAGCACTCAATGTGAAAAACGTGCCGGTTGGAATTTTGGCAGCACTTCTTACTTCACTGTTTGAAAGCGATATGAAGCCTGATTTGTAGCATAAACTTGTAGTGAACATAACTTTGTCGTGTGTATAGAAAAGCTTACATTTTCATATTTGAAACCAAGTTAATCATGTTTGAAAATCACGTTTTTTGGACGTTGAGAATCACTAGAAAATGCAAAGGCAATGGTTTGTAGAGCGCATAGAGGTAATTTGACATGCTGATTACGGAAAGGATTTAGCATTTCACATAGGAAGCTTCCTTATCGACCTCATGGTCTGTCAAGGTAAAACATGAAGATTAAATTTTGGCTAACTTCGAAAAACTTCGTGGAAACAATCGATACGCTGTTAACGACCATCATTCCTTTAGGTGATTGCGATATCCACTGGACTAGCGCATTTCTTCTTCACCTTCGTAGTGTCTCCCCAACTGAACAAATTCGATTCTTAATTACGACCCCCTCCCTCAGTCTTACCTTCAATACGATCCCCCAGTTCGGGCGCGCCTGACCCTACGCTTAACTCTGGGGAAAGGACAAGTGGTTTGAACGTCGTGCGTTAAAGGTTGCTTCTGGAACTTTAATATATCAAACTGGGCACTTATGTATTGGATTGTTTCATAAGTTTTTTCAATTCTAAATTTCTGAAGAATAACTCGCACACTTCTCAATTCTGATTATAACGCAGGGTACCCTTCGATAGAGCAAAACAAGCTTTATAAGATTGTAAATATTTGCACCAGCTTCAGCACAGTACGAGTTAGAAGCCGAAATTTGAGAACTTCTGGATGCCCAAAAAATCAGAAATTTTCTGTAACTTCGCCAGAAGAAAACTTGCCAAATCCCAGGCTCGCTCACGCATATACACTCTACAGAACACATTCTAATGTGCCGTTGCTGTGTTTGTTCTGTGCTAGAAACCGAGAAAACTGAAATTTTCAAGCTTCCAAAAAAGAAATGCTGCGCTGTTTTCACACAGGTACATGTATACTACAGGCCTATAGAAGTACAGTCACAAATTTGCTTTCTATAAGCTCTAGTTTCCAAGAAATATTAATTCCAACATGTAATACCTTAGCAAAAAGAAGTAGATTCGGTATTTCTCAAAAACAAGCGCTTCCGAGAAACTGAAAATCTACCGATGTATTACTGAAGGCCTGTAGTATACATTTACCTGTGTGAAAACAGCGCTGCATTGCTTTTTTGGAAGAATGGGAATTTTAGTTTTCTCGGTTTCTAACACATAAATAAACACAGCAACGACACATATGAGTATGTTGTTTGAAGTATACATGCGTGTATGAGTTTGGGACCTGGTAAGATTTCTCCGGGTAAAGCTACTGAAAATTTTTGGGCATTTAGATAGACGTCCTCAGATTTCGGCTTCTAAATCGTGATGTGCTGAAGCTGTTCCAGACAATTACATGTCTTCTTATAGGGCTTGCTTTGCTCTATCGAAAGGTACCCTGCATCATAATCAGAATTGAGAAATATGTGAGTTATTGCTTTAGAAAGTCAAAATTTAAAAAACTTATGAGACGACCTAATAGATTGTGAGTTACTTTCCTTTGAACTTTCGTTATCAGCAGTCATAAATAATACAGATGGGCATCTCAACGCAATTATTCGAGAAAAGTTGAAATTAGCTGCTTTCTCCAGGGATTGGCTGCATGCAGTAAAAAGCCGCCGATGCGCCTTTCAAAGTTGCACTTTGACGCGGAAGCTTGCAAAAAACCGGAAATGTGTGAACTCTCGGAGACTTGGCATTTCTGCTATAAAGTCCCTATAACGCGCCGCTCTCTATTTTCTACAAACTCAACATCTTGTATATTTAAGATTTGTCTATACTTCGAACATCTATCTATGTTCGAGACGTAGAGTATCTTTAATCAGCTCAAATCTCTTATGTGAGCTATGCTAATTAGCTTAAAAATTACATACTAGCTATGCTAAAAGCTCCAAATCAGAATGAGACTTGGAGGTTAGCCTATAAATATGCAAACAGAACAGGATAAGAACTTCTTCTATGGCAGCAAAAAATATCGGTAGCTCTTGCGTGCTTGTTGCCTTTCATTCAGTCGTGATATGCACTGACTTATATCAGTGAAGTGTTTGCGCTCGGATGTTCTACTCAAACACGAGCAATCGAAATGTTCGCCATCTTGCAGCTAACACTTTTTTGCATAAAAAATTCTCATCGAGTTTGGTATCAGAAGAAATTCTCATTTCATACTTCGCAATAGATTTTAGTCAATTATGTATATGCTACAAAGTTTTTGCTCATATTTCCGTGGAACAAAAAATTGAAATTATGAAAGCCTTCCAAATCAATGCATAAACACCAAAGCATGAGGAATAAAAAATATATCGTTGCGCTTTATGGCTCCGAAAAGAAGGACATTCCACAGTCAAGGTTGGTTCGGTCGTGTATCGCTGATTCGTCTGGTATTTCGTGATTGTACTCTTCAAAGAATGTTCGTCGTCCTCACACCTTCAATTGTGGTTTGAGATTTCCAGCTTTTCTTTCCTTCAAATTTTTCCTTGCGTGATCTTTCGGTTGGCGCAGTGCACATAAACTCATATTGTCGATTTCCCTAGTTGCAAGAAAGCTGATGAGAGAGGAACAGGTTTTACTCTTATATATTACAATTCCCTTTTCTTTTATTGCAATAATGTCGGAGTAAATTTTGCTAATTTTCTGAAGTCACATACAAAGAAAGGTGATCCGCTAGTTTTTGTAATGAGAATTTTTGAGCAAAAATCGCATCAAGAATCAGAGAAAAGGGAAAAGCAGGAAGTGATCAGGGATGTCATTCAGTACTCAATCTTTGCTATGACATATTTATTTCTGATTTATTTATATAGTACAATTTGGGGCGCGAAATCTGTTAGTGCTCACCAACTGTACTGGTATGACATCAGAAAGTAAGAGAAGAGTTCAAGCTTCCAAGACTTCAAATCTTAACAAAATAAATAACTTCAACTAAAATACACCAGAAGACATAGAGCTTAAAAGAAATAAAGCTAGGAGGAGATTCGAGACGCGACTTAGCTATAGCTTTCCGGTTTTTCAAAATGTGCACCTAGAAACTTTTCGAAAATGAAATATTGGCAATGTCTTTGCAATTGTGAGAGATGAAATTTTGCATAATCATATCTTCTGCTAAAAAATGCTGTTTGCTATAATGCGGATCTCTCAAAATAATCCTCACCAAGCACAAAACTTTCTTTAATGTATGTTCGTCCACTTCTTTAGTGATTTCTCCTTGTTTTTTTTGCATGCAACAAAATAAAATAAATTTTCTGTTCACTGGCCCAACCAAGCAAATCCTACTAAGGACTTGGAGCCTCTTTTTTTCTCACTATTTTCTAGACAATCTGTTTGCTGGCATGGTAGTAACCGCACTGGTATTGCCTCGTCACCGGGGAGACTACCTTGAAATGTATTGTGTTCTTTTCGGTGCATGAACTCCAGTGCTTTTATGACACAAGAAATTTTTCAACCAAAAATTATCATAATTCAGTATTTAAAATGGGGCAAAACCTTGTCAAGAATTTTTTTTGCAAAACTACAGCATCTAGTTTGATTGCTAACTTTTATTGTGTTGCTCCCTTTGGGCTGCCATCAATAAATGTATAACAGACCAATAATATGTAGCTTTCTGCACTATTCTTGATGTCAACATGATTCACGACTTTGACTCACAGAAATGGTGAGCCGTTTTTTTGCGTGTGCTAATATTTCTCGCTCCATTTTTATTCAAGTCACCAGCTAGCATAAGGCATCTTCGTAAAGAGTGATGCTGACTATGACTCTTCAGCCAAATACATATGGCTTGTCATTCTACCAACAAGGCGGCTTCTGAAAATGTTAAATCGAGCGTGCGAACATTTGAAGAGGTCGTTTATCATCAAGCATCTCTCATCTCAGTACAAGTTTTTCTTTCTGTCTGCGTTTTAAATTTTCATGCAATATAAATTCGTTAGTATTCTCGGGGGGCTGATTCATTTTCGAATGTCAATTCTTTGCTGCCCCTTTACAGTCACTTTTTGTATTTTCTTCCTACATCTGAACTTCATTTTCAAAACTACTATGAAGCTATTGTTCTACTGTTATTCTTCCGCTATGATACAAAAAAATGTTTGACATGAGGCAACTGATAAATGCTGTAGTTCTGCAATTGGGGTGAAAACATTGTGACATGTCCTCATAACATTTTCTTTGTCATTCTTTCTTGCATACAGGCTCTGCATATATGCAGAAGCATAAAAGCCAGGACCAGGCATCAAATTTCTAAAGTACACGCTATGTAACAGGCTCTCAATTGTGCAGTTTTTATATTACCAATGCATGATGCTGGATGCAAGATGGGCAGTTTATTCACTACCGTCAGCCCAATTGCAGAAACAACAGTAGTTGCAAAAGCAGCTTTTTTTCTCGTCAATATTCTTCGTGAACTCATCCTAGGCAAAATAATCCGTTTCTTCCGCCTTGGACACAGCAAAATTTCCCAAAAAAATATTCTCAATAGGATAATTTACTTGAAAGAAGTCGCGCTTTCCTAATTCTTTTTTGTTTGCAAAAGACTGCGAGACCACTTTTTGGCAGCGCCGAGTGCTTCCCATCCGATTTTCTCGTTTTTTCGTATTCTGACGAAGGAGGCGCATAATGTCTAGTGCCTGACAGAATCGCCTCAAGCGACCTATTGTTATGTAGTCTCGTTCGGTTTCCCACAACGAGGGCGATTTATGTTCTTCCTGCCTGCATGAAAATCGGCATGAGTGGAGCTCAACAAAACGGAAATGCATAAGAAGATCTGAGCAGAAATTCTCGATGCTGTGAAGCAATTGTTGCAAAAAGTGGCACTAAATACATTTAAAAGTTTGATTCCATTTAGTACGAACATATCGAGTTTCCAACTCCTTTGTTTGTGAAGCTTTTTTCCACACCGGCGCAAGCGCAAACTGCCAGCAACTCAATTTTCAGTGGCATATATGGTCCCCATCCATCTCAGTTAGGATTCAGAATAATGCTCTAAGTTTAGCTGCATCAATACTATCAATCCTTCATGTTGAAAAGATTAACCTCCAAACTGTTAGGTGTCAGTTACTTCTGACACATATGCATTTGTGACGCAGATGAGGTACGGCGTTCACGCGAATGTGATTTTCAAAAAACTCGATGTGGGATTTGACAAAACAATTTTCAAAAATCCTCGAATAGAGTAAAAAAAAATTAGAGGAAACTCTTTGATGTTTTTTGTCAGTTGACAATAATCCTAGTGATGCTGTTCTTTGCTCACTCTCATCTTGTTCCTCGCATCGCTGATGCATATTTTATCGGAGACTATAATTAAATAAGGAATGGCCGTAGCGATCATAGCAAAATTTGCGACTATCAAACCCACCAATGTTGGCCTCTCCTGGGACTGCGTCCAAAGATCAGATAAAGCAACTTCTTTCACTCTGCTCTCTTGCCCCCTTAAACGCACAGTTCTGAAACCTCAACTTATTCTTTCCTATAGTATGAAAATTTTGTATCGCAGAATTCGATGTTTATTGGTTAAACAGAGCTACAACGAATTTTGTGAACTTAAAATTCCCACCAAGTGTTTTATATTATACAATGCAATTCCTTAGAAAATGACGGTATCGTACTCTGGTAATTTTTTGCGTTTATTACTGCGATGGAAAGGCTCAATATGGAGATCCGTCTGGATAGAGCTGGTCTTGTTCCTAGCATTATACTATTGTATTAGAGCTTTTTATTACTATGGAATACCAGCCTTAGACGAGAGCGGAGAATTGGGGTACAAGTAAGTTCATTTTTCTAATGAGTTTCAAAATTGACGTTTTCGGACCGTCCGCGGTAAAATGGATTGTTCTTATGATGAAATAATCTTTATGATCTTTCAAAAGACTAATTTTCAGGGAAAAGCTTCTTTCATTATCCAAGCTCTTCAACGAATACACTAAAAACATTCCTCTGACCTTCCTTCTCGGATTCTATGTCGCGAACATCGTATCCAGGTAGGCGCACTAGTTCAATATCCGAATTCAGTTCATCCGAGTTTCCAGGTGGTGGAGCCAATTCGAATGCTTGAGCTGGCCGGAAGATTTGTTGTCAGTCGTTTGTATGATGTTCCATGACAACACTGACAGCTCCAAAAAGAAGCGACATCAGATTGCTAGATACCTAAATCTTGTGGCTGCTTTAGCCTGGTAATTTTTTTATTCATTTTGGCCAGAAGCTTGGGTCATCTTGTCACGATTTATATTTGCTTTTAGGCGCGACATCTCCGATAAGATTCGTCTGCGATTTCCAAGTACCCACAACCTGGTCGATGCCGGTTTGATGAATGAACAGGAGTATGAGAGACTGGAGAAGATGGAGGTAATCATCTACTCGTAGCCTTAGTTATTTTCAAAATCAAACATGGGATAGGAAGCCCAGCGCATCAAAACATTTAGAGCCAAAAATTATGTAAAATGACATCCGAAACAACTGAGCAAATATTAGTTTGAGCCTAAGATTCTTTTACAATTTTTCCTGAGATTTGTAAACTAGTTTATTATATAGATATTTTATTTCATGCTCTAGATGTTTCTCCATGTCTCCCAGCAGCTATCAAAAATCCAAGACAGCTCATAAATTTTTCAGCTCTCTAGCCAAAAATGAGAATCGCTGCAATAAAATCCGAAGCCGTCAGTAGCGAAAATAATGTCTTTTGCTTCCGAAAAGTGTGTCCAGATCGTAGAAGATTTATGATTGAACCGAGAAATGTAAGGAAACAGACTCATAAATCTCCTGTGAAAGTCCTGTCAGCACGAATACGAAAGGGGAGAACTCAGCTTGTATCACAGACAGTGAAATTTTCTTAAAAGTTGAGATCTGGCATAGAAAGAGATATAGAGTTCAAATTGTTGACTTCGGATTTTATCACCTCATTTGAACCTATTGTTAGATTTTCGGCTAGTTAGCTCAAGAAACCAAGAATACGTTCTATCTTTGAAATCAGTCTTTGGTAAACGGCACTCAAAGCGCGTTCGTCTCTCCAATAAAACTGAAATCAAGCGCGATCTAAGGAGTCACGAAATTCCGCATAAGTAAACCTGCCTAACCTTATGATAGCTCTCATACTAAAACAAGTAATAATTTTTTCAGGGACCAGCTCCAGGTGTCCGGTGGATGGCACCACTTCATTGGATTCAGCAGATAGTAAGCATTGAGGTATGCTATAAGGTGGTTTTTCCCGAGGAACGCAAAATTTGCGAGCAACTAGATCGCAAATAACCCCAAAGAAAGAGTGAAGCAACTACAGCTTCTTCGTGCCCAATGCTCATGAAGCTCTTAGTGTTAGAAGAAAGAACAGTCACACGTTTTCAAAAGTTTTTGGATTAGGAGACGTAGACTTACTGTTAGTATATTAAAAAACCTCAGGGAACCATAAATTCCGTAAGTTCCTATGAAGTACAAGTATGTATCAGGTTGGACCGAAAGTTCGTCCGCACCATTTTCAAAAAATCATAACTTCTGATTTTTTCAACCGATTTGACTGCGTCTATTTTTAAATGAAAGAGTAAGTAATGCTCTTTGGAAAGACATCTTAGCTGCTTGCTAATGATCATCTTTTGCATAGATAGGAGCGATAAAAGAGAATTAGTGAAAATTCGAATTTTCTGTGTAGGGTCATAAAAAATCGGAAACTTGCAACAAAAATCGGAGTAGTCAGTATTGTGGGTTCTTTCACCAGCTCTTTCTAACAGTGCAAAGCCTGCGCTGATTGAGCGTCTCTATGAAAAGTTGTGATTTCCCTGAAAAATGCCAAATAAATCAATTCGCCCTTTTGTACTGCTTGCTCGAAAATCATAACTTTTGATAGAAACGCTCAATCAGCGCAAACTTTGCACATTTAGATAGAGATGGTGAAAGAACCTACAATACCGGCTGCTCTGATTTTTGTTGCGGTTTCCGATTTTTTATGACCCTACACAGAAAATTCAAATTTTGACCAATTTTCTTGTTTTCAATTTTCTTCTATTGCTCCTATCTATGCAATAGATGATCATTAGTAAGCAGCTAAGATGTCATTCTAAAGAAAATGACTTGCTCTTTCAAAAAAAAATAAATGCAGTTAAATCGATTGGAAAAATCAGAACTTATGATTTTTGAAAATGGTGCGAACGAACCTTCGGTCCAACCTAGTATATATGTACAGTCCGAATTATTTCGCTCAATGCAGAGTGTTAGCGATGAAAATATCTAAGCCAAAAGTGACGGCATTTTGCGCGAGCAAGTATTACATCACTGGCGTAGCTTTCCGTCCACGCGCAAATTTTACCGCGCCACTTCGGCAGTGCAAGTACACTGCAATGCAGCCCCTAACTCGCGTAAAAAAAACGCCAGGCGATGGATTTTTCCGCCGCGGCAGATAAATCAACAAAAAATCGTCGGAAGCTCATAATCTTGTGAGATTTTTGGAAAGTTCAGAAAAAGGCGATTCTAAAAACAAAAAAATTTTCTCAAAACACATCTTCCTAACTGCTTCAGTGGGGTGGCGACGGATTGATCTGCCACGAAAACGTCGCAAGCTCATAACTTTATTGAAAATTACTTTTTTCAATTTTTAGTTTCATATTCGGAATATCACTGGAATGACGGCTAAAAAAATGTAAATTTGTTTTTCCTAAATTGTTTTAGAATGGTCGCGACGGAATGATTGTGTGTGAAACCGTCACAGAGAAATAACTCTTTCTAGATCAAAGTAGATGAAAATTTATTTTCACTACCACCATGGCTACCAACCACTGATTTCAGCAACATAATGAATCTACAAAATAAATTACGTAGACCAATTTGCCAAAAGCCGACGGTTCCGATGCAACAAATCCGTCGTTGCCGAAAATTCGACGGTTACGCCGCGACAGATAGGTCGCACCGTCATAACTCTGCTTATAGACAAAAATTTTAAAGTTTGAAATTGAATATGGTGAACTTGAGCATCACTGACAAACTGTGCACAAGGATTTTTTTTCCTAAATTTTTACATGAAAATAGTCATCAGTGATGTTTGTGAAATTGAGTGAAAGCTGCGAAGTTTGAGAAGCAGTAAAGGAATTCACTGCCTAGAAATCTCCTAATCATTCTCTAATTACGAATCTACAGGAAGTCCTTTATTAGGCTGACGTACGTTGGCGTAGCCTTAGGCGTAGTTGTCGCCTTGGTAGGAATATCTGCAGGTGTGGACAATACACTATCCTGGCAGATTTATTGAGTCAGACGACTTGTCCGCATTGGGACAGTGGTAGAATGCTAATGATAATAGGCGTGGTAGAGTAACATAACAAACTATCACGGCAGGTCATGCTTATGGCATGACCTGTGAGGTACTTCGGTAACAGTAGAGATACGGTTGTTAGGAAGTGCCGACAATGTCGGCACACTCCGGCCAGCGGGGTGAGAGCAACGAAATTAATCAGAAGTACAACATATATCTGTGCGATAGAAAGGGATCGGTTATACCGGCACACTCCGCCCGGCAAGAGGAATGGACAAATGAATTGAAAAGTGATAGCAGAATTAGTAATGCAACAACATTTAACCATGAAGCGGTGCCTTTGTCTGGGTCTCGTAATGGTCGTCGTTGCACCGGAACGCGACTGAACACAGGGATCCTTCTTGTGTAGCGGCTGCCAAAAAGTGAAGTAGATAGATCTAAACTATAGTGCAGGCCAATGGAAAGTGTTATTAAACTGATCTTCACTGGCACTGGTACTGGATGAAGTTCAGAAATTCCTCTCTTCTCATTGTTCTTATATGATCGTAACTTCTGAATTTGGCGTTCTTCACTGATATTATTGCATGCCTTTGCCAGAGGCAATCCTGGTAGTGTGACCTGTGCAAAGGTCAGGCTCTCATCTGCAACAGCTGATTGTACATCACTGTCTTCAGCCTCGAACTCGCGATATCCATCATTTTCACTAATCTCCTCGTCATTGTTACGTTCGTCTGGCTTATCGTTTGCAGTGTGACTTGCTTTTTCTTCAGCGTATGGAAATCCGGCATGCAGTATGTGTCTGTGTAGAACCTTTCTAATGCTACCTTGATTTTTTGTTGCAAATCTTCTTCTACTTCCTATTGCGGCCAGTTCTATTTCAATATCTGTAGCGAGCATTTCTAGCTCAAACGTAAACATTTGAGCATTGCCGGCTATTCGAAAAAATCTTATCTGTTCTTGGAGCGCGTCCATTTCCTTTGCCATGGCCTGTCTCATCATTTCGGAGCTTTCCTTGTAGTGCTTCCTCATGACGTCAATTTTTGATTCCAGCTGATTTTTGCCGGTTTTGATTTCCATGATGCATATTGGTAGTAGGTCCAGATGGTGTAGGCAGAACTCCTGTCGTTCTTGTTGGTCATCTGGAAGAGTAATTTTCTCACCATAGTGCTGGTATTTCTGTAGTATGTCCGCGAGATTCTTGGTGTACGTCTTCAGGTCCTTTTTGATGAGATGAAGAGCCGCATCACTTTCTTGTGGCTTCCGCTGTCCTTCTTGGAAGCGGGGCATGATATCGGTCGTGTTTGGCCGATGCACCAAATGTAACAGTGGCTCTAGGCTTTATAGTAGCCTAAGGCGAATAGCGCCTTTTGTGTGTTATATAGAACACATAAGCTGTAGGTAGCTTTATTGAGACAGACGACGTGCGCTCATGGGCGCAGTGGTAGAATGCTAAGGATAACAGGCGGAGCAAAGTAACTTGGCATGCATCTGGGCAATCAACACACTCATATCACAGCAGGTCATGCTTATGGCATGACCTTTACGGCAATCTGGTATAAGAATTAGGCTACAAAGAGAGGTGCCGATTACATCGGCACACTGCGGCCGGCCATCTATGAAGCAGAAGAGGAGGGAAGAAGAGGACATGATAAAAATACATCAAATAATCTACTCCATTTCGTATTTTCTTCTTTTTGTCTGGATAGAGCAGTGGTCGTTGGTGAGTGGCGCGTACACCTCGAATTGTCTTGAGATCCGCGAAATATGAGCGGACGTGGCGACGACAGCAGACGATGAAATTGAATGGAAATGATGTCTTGTGATTAGCACATTCATTACGATAGAGTGATAAAGACTTGCGCTCAGAGACATTGTCAATGTGCACAATAGTCTTATATGGGAATAGAACGGAAATTTGCTCATCATTGAAGACGGCTGTCTTTGCTTCTCCTGTTACTGGAAGTGCTATGGCCTGCAGAGATGCCATAGCGTGGACGAGCAAGGTTGTGTCCGTGGATTGGTCATCGTTGCCATTGACTAACTGCACCTCGGTTTTCTGTGGTTCTTTTGTTTCAATTGTCGCATAGCTAAAACCATCCTCATCGATAACTGGGATGTCCGATCTAGCATATTTCTGTTCTGTTTCGTCGTGAGCAGATGAGACATCTGTGGCAGAGAACTCCTTAGCGGATAATGGCACGTTGTAGCTATCTTCTTTGGTTGCTGGTTCCAAAAAGGTATGCTCGTTTCTGTTGGTTTTTTGCAGTGAATTGAACGATTTTTCACGTTCCAGTCTGGACAGTTCTATTTTTAGCTTTGATTCACATTTTTCTAGTGTATAAATAAACATTTGAGCATCATTAGTGATTTGACTTATCTCTTTGTCGAGCGAATCCCAATCTTCTGCCACTAGCTCCTTGATCTTGTACTCGCTTGTACGCAGCTTCTTCAGCACGTCGGTTTTCGATCGCATCAAGTGTAAGCCCAGGAGAATGTCGAAAATGCACTTTGGTAGTGCGCGCAATTTGTCGATGCATATTTCTTGTCGCTCCTGTATATCGTCTGGAAATAATATTTTCTCACCATAGCTCGCGTACTTTCGTAGTAGTTCCGCGAGTCTTTTGGCGTGTATCTTCACATCCTCCCTATGATGATACAAGGTCGGAATTGCTCCATTGTGGCTTCTGTCTTGTCCTTGGAAGCGGAGCATGGTATCGGTCTTGTTTAGCCGATGCACCAGAAATATTAGGCTGACGTACGTTGGCGTAGCCTTAGGCGTAGTTGTCGCCTTGGTAGGAATATCTGCAGGTGTGGACAATACACTATCCTGGCAGATTTATTGAGTCAGACGACTTGTCCGCATTGGGACAGTGGTAGAATGCTAAGGATAACAGGCGGAGCAAAGTAACTTGGCATGCATCTGGGCAATCAACACACTCATATCACAGCAGGTCATGCTTATGGCATGACCTTTACGGCAATCTGGTATAAGAATTAGGCTACAAAGAGAGGTGCCGATTACATCGGCACATCCTTCACAAGTTTCAGAAGAAAACAGCTGACTGTGAATTTTATCGATGGAGATTTTTGTTGATTTACCTGCCGCGGCGGAAAAATCCATCGCCTGGCGTTTTTTTTACGCGAGTTAGGGGCTGCATTGTATTGTAAGTGGAAAATCTACTCGACTGTGCGAATTTGAGTTTACGTTCACTTGATCTAGCTAGAATGATATAAAACACTAATCGCTCCTCAAGCCGTGAGTTCGCTCTTGCGCATATCTATCTGATGTGATATCGATTACGCCGTTTTTGCTTTACATCTTAAACCCGAAGACAAAATAGAAGTTCTCTAGGTAGAAGCCGGCCGTGTTCCTACACATTTTATGGCAGTTTTCATGAACGAACTAAAGCTATACCGCGTGTCGTTTCGCAAGTTGTTCTGCCATGATTGGGTATGTGTGCCCTTGGTCTACACACAGGTAGGATTCGATACATAAATACCGTTACTTGACTACTTCAGTATCATTTGTAGGTGGCATCACTGGCGACTTACGCGTTCTTCGTATTCTGCCTCCTTGGCCGGCAGAATTTTGAATCTAATGAAGAATATGACACTGTGTTTCCGTTGTTTACAATTGTGCAATTTATCTTCTATGTCGGCTGGTTTAAGGTAGGTGTTAAGAAAAATTGTTGGTTGAAAATGAAAATGCACATTTTCGCCGTTTCCCTCTCAATCAAATGTAATACAAAACCGCTGTATTTTTTTTGGAAAAAAACGACGCGCAATCGCTTGAATCATATGACATCACCTTAGCGTGGGCATATCTTGCTTCAGAGTGAACGAATTCATCCAAGGCAACCATTCGACCCAGCTTCTTATATAAGTGCCCGCTCGCACACAAAGAGGCCAGATTCCACGAATCTTTTCAGATTTTTGCTTACGATAGGCACTGGATGCAGTGAACAGCACACTGACAATGAGTAATCACCGTAAACAAAATCTGAAACAATTCGAGGAATCGGCCCCCTACTGTGTCAAAGTGGGCACTTCTATATATCGGAAGATGCGCCGCGCCGAGTCGAAAGAGAGTTGTGAGAGTTGCGAAGGTTCTAGTTCCCTTCAAGTTCCATTTTGCTAGACTGTCCTAACCAAGGCTTTTCCTGAGCTCCCCTTTATTTATTTTTGCTACCGCGATTGAAGGTCGAGGATAGCTGCTGTGCCAAGTTTTCTCTTCTCTTTCTATGGCAATATTCCTTTTCCTTTGTTTTTTGCCATTCTTCTCAATTTTTTTGTTTCTAAGAACGAGCATTTTCCTCGATAGTGCACAGTAATTCGCTGTTCTAAACTTTGAGAGACCTTCATTCAGACCAGCTGAATTAGTTACGTACCATGCGCACTGCTACTTTGCAAATCAAATTATTTTTGGCTTGTGAAAAACGTGCATGCTATTTTCGACTGTAGGTCGAGCATATCCAGAAATTTTCGAGAAGAAAGAAAGCTGCACTTATTTATAGTGCGCTGCCCAATAGCTATACTTGATCATGTAAATTCCAATGAAGGAAGCAAAAAACTGCTTAATTCTAGAACAAGTGATAAATCCTACATTTTTGTACAAACAATAAATTTTTATAGGTAGGTCAAGACTTGATGAGGCCATTTGGACTTGACGATGACGATATCGAGTTAAGCTACATTCTCGACCGCAACCTTGTCATTTCTTTTGCTACTGTTGATTGCCTGCAGTCAGACAAACCCCGTAAGTTTTTTCTGCAATTTCACAATTTTATAGGAAACGATAGGGTAGCTCAAGAGTTACTCTGTGCAAGGACACCCTATGATGCTAAAATTGAAACCATGAGTTTTAGCAGACTTTGAGCCAGACGTTTACTGGCAACATCTGGATAATGTCAGCCTGTACAAGGAAACGTCATCGCTGAAATTTGGTCGAATTGACCTATCTCGGACAGCGCATAAACACCCGCCGAAGTTACACACTTATGTGCAAGTACACGACCATGAAAAGGCAATGAATCTGGAAGAGTTTTCGGGTGGAGGACGACAACGGTAAGGCGCTAATACTTTCGCTTCATTTTTATCTGAAGACATTGCTGGCACGATTCTTTAGGTACATTGCGTGGTGAAAACAATCAGTATGCACCTTTCTCAGGAGCAATCGGGTAAAAAGAAGCTGATATGTCGTTAACTATTGGAGTTCGAGTTCATAATAAAGATTTTGAGATGCTTTCTGAAGCAGATGAGCAGATTTTTTTTTGTTATAAATCAGCCATTCCTAGCAACACGATTATAAGTGCATATGTTATAAAAATGGTAGATCGGCATGATGCAGAAGTTATAACCTTCTCTATCCATGGAATATATGGCGAAACACGAGTGTAGACTCCTGTAAATATAACGCTTTAGTCGGATTCATTAGTAATCTTGTTTTCATGAGTAGAATAATATCCTTATTGTACTAAAATATATACGCGCCTCAGCAAAACTTGAATGATGGATGAAAAAATTTTGGACTGCAAGTGCTCAGAACATTCTGCGGAGTTTTAAAGAAGGTATAAGGCAAGGAAATCGGGAAATTGAAGATATTTTATAATCAATCGGTGAAGGAAAATACCTGGATAAGTGTTTTGATCCAAAAGTCCTTGGAAACCAGCAGCTCCAAATGAGGTAATCCCAACTTGCACTAATTTTCCATCTCCAGCTTTAGCTAGCAGAGGTCCACCGCTATCGCCCTGAATTAGATCTTCTCTTTATTCCCATTAGCGAAAAAAAATTATTTACCGGTCCAGTTCCATGCATTCTCGACCCTGCACATATTTGTTTTTCTGATATGTTTATTGTACCTCCAGACAACATGCCCCATTCCCTCCTGAAACGCTTCAATGCCCTTTGGAGACAAATACCTTTCTGATGAATATACAGGTGACTCACTGACACTTGCTCCTCGAAATGATTGGCAATGAAGCCTCCAGAACAACATCGCTGACACCCATCGTCACTCCAAACAGCGACTGACTCACTGGAATTTTGTCATACGAAAACAACTTTCAGAATGGAGAGGCAACTTTTTGCTAGATAGTACGAGCGCCACTTCGGTCTAACATTCTTGCAAAAGAAAATCCTAGTAGCGATAGGTTCGCTTGGTGCTTTTTACCAAAAATCTTACATGTATGTCACATAATTCTTATAAATTATGTATATGTATATGAACAATTATCACACATGCTATTTATCGGAGCAGTACCAATATTGCAAAAAATAGTAAAAAGCAAAAATGCGTCTGCAGAAATTGCCACTCCTTCACTCTGAATTGATGGAAAAGTTATTCCGTGATGAATATAGTGATATGTCAAGATTAAAAATAGGTTTTTTCTTTCTACACCTAGAATCAAATTTTTAGCAATCTTGTATGAAGCTTCTTTGAACGTGTGAGTTTGTGAAAAGAAAGAAACACAGTGCCAACCCCAACTGAAAAATGTAGATTAGCTAAGAACAGAAAAGAAAGAAAAGAGCGTGGATTGTTCCGTAACGCACCATCCACACAATTCGGTCACCCTCTCAGATTCAGAATCATTTTTTTTCTTAGTATGTACGATTTTCTCTTCGTTACTGTATTTTCCAGTATGGTCGGATCTTGCCTGTTTCCAGTAGAAAGAAGGACGAAGATTGTCTTTGCATCTTCTAAGATTCCCTGCGTATCGCAGCCAAACAAAAGGGTACGCTCTTGTTTTCTAACTCCTATAGGTTTCTCCATACTTAGACCTAAGGCATACCTCTCGCGATTTCGCGAAATCGCCACATCCTCGCGACTTGGCGATCTGCCAGATGTCTAGAGATTAAGCATGCGAGGCTCTCAAATGCATGGGTGCGTAGATTCCTTAAATCGTAACAAACACAGCAAGTCTGGCCCAAGCAAAGTGCGTTTACGACCAGCTATGGAGAGTCGTTACAGTGCCAAATCGCGCGGCGGCTAAAATCGCGTGTGGTATGCCTTAGGCCTTAGGCAAGGGACACCTCAAGCGATTTCAGTCGCCACGCGATCTGGAAATTTGCCAGATATCTTCAAATTCAATAGTGGTAGACCCCAAATGCACAGCATGTATAACTTTCGTAGGTTGATAAAATGCCCCATATTCCGTACATTCAGAAACCCCGTAAGATGAGTTATGAACATTTGGAGTATTGCCAAATCGCGTGGCGACTGAAATCGCGTGAGGAATGCCCGAGGCCTTACGCAATTTCAGTCGCGACGCGATTTGGCAATGCTGCAATTGTCCATGACTCATCATGCGCGCATTTTGAATGTGCAGAAAATGGAGCATTGCATCAGTCTTCGAATGTTGTACAGCCTATGCGTTTGCAGTATGACAGTATTAGATTTGAAGGCATCTAGCAAATTGCCAGATCGCGTGGCGACTGAAATCGCGTTAGGTATGGCCAAGGCCATGTATGTGGATCTCTCTAATCCCATTATGTGTCTGCGATCAAAAGGAATATGAGTGTACGAATATGTGAACACCAGGCTTAACCTCTGGACAACTTTTTCATTTCGAATCTGAATCGAATTTTGCTGATCACGACATTCACAAATGCGTCACTTCAAATACTGATTTTTCCCTTCTTTTGACATGATAGCGCATCCCCACACTTTTTGTCAAATTAATACTTTTACCACCACAACACTGAAACTTTTCACTAACCGATGTGCAGTCCAAATCCTGTCACAATTCCTTGCGCTGAAGACAACAACTCGAAGTCGTTTCTAGCCAAGCATACACTCGATACTCCATCGTCATATAGTGAGTATTTACTCTTAATAGCTTCTGTTTTCCATGGAGTCACAGAATAATGATTACAGCCTGGTTTTACCTTAACAAGCGCTATATCATCGGATATTCCCTTAGCATCGTAGTCTGGATGCACTACAAATCTCTCAACATGATGGATATGTTCTGGGCTACTAAGTGACGTAAGACCGGTAAGAATGAAGGACTTCTTTGGAGAACCTCTGTAAAGCAAACATATGACAGCTTTGCTTACCATAAGCAAAACTGATTTTTTATAAACCAAAACAGACTGTCCACCATCTTTCAATGCCCCTGTGTTCTGTATTCACTAATAAAAACTTGGAATTTAGATGAATAGTGAAATGAATGAATTTAAGCAAAGCCTATAGGTGCCAAAATTTGGGAACAAAATAATATAAGTTTTTTTTACTCCAAGTCTATAAAAAAACGTTTTTCTAATTGGAACTCTTGAATATAAAATTATGACCAGACCTCGCCAGTTTATGAGTGCATCTATTAGGTTGGTGCAAAAGTTCTTTCGCACCAAATTCAAAAATTCATAACTTGTTGAATTCTCAACGAATCTGCAAGATCTAAACTTTACATAAGAGAAGAACTCATGCTCTTTGCATATGTTCCTGAATTGTTCGTAAATGTTTACAGATGAAGGAGATAGAAGCTCAAAATCAAAATCACTCAAAATTTGGATTTTTCGTGTAGGGTCATAAAAAATCGGAAACTTGCAACAGAAATAGGAGCAATCAGTATTGTAGGCTCTTTCACAAGCTCTTTCCAATAGTGCAGAATTTGCGCCGATTGAGCGTCTCTATGAAAAGTTACGATATTCCTGAAAAATGCCAAAATAAATCAAATTCGCCCTTTTGTATTGCTTGCTCGAAAATCATAACTTCTCACAGAGACACTCAATTGGCGCAAACTTTGCACTGTTAGAAAAAGCTGATGAAAAAACCTATAATGCCGACTGCTCCGTTTTTTGCTGCAAGTTTCTAATTTTTTATGACCCTGCACGAAAAATTCAAATTTTGAATGATTTTGGTTTTGAGCTTCTATCTCCTTCATCTACATTCTAGAACTGTTCAATCGGTTAAAAAGTTTTTGGTGCGACCACACTGTTATGAAAGTGCAAAGATGTTTGAGAGTACAAATTCTAATCAGTTCCTTTCTCAGATAAAGAATGCCATTGGTATGCCCTGAAAAGAAGCCTAGCATATGTAATGTTTGACTTTTTCGGCGCACTACTGGGTGTAATACATAAATAGATGAATAATGACTGCTTCAAGCAAATTTGTACTTTTAAAATTCATAATCAATTTGTTAAATGTCTCCATTTATAAAGTCAAAACAACAAACTCACACAATACAATGGGCAGCAGTAAGAATCCAATGTTCATCAAGCACTGTCGCACCACATATCAAACCGCTGTTTGAAAAGTCATATGATACGAGAGCGGCTTGCCACGGGTGTTCACTGAGCAGAAATCGTTATTCGTAATTTATGGACGGCGTAAAACAAAAATTTACCGTTTAGCTACGGAGCCTCCAATAATTCGGAGGAACGAAGAGTTCGGCAGAGAATCACAGAAACGTAAGCAAGCAACGAGTTGTGAGCAGTACACTAAGAGAAGGCCAAAAAAGAACATCTCCACGTCACGATGACATTTCGTTCGATCACGCTAAGAGTGGAGTTGATAAGATATGCGTGGGCTACAGTGCACCCTGTAAACATGAGGATTCGGCTCGAGGCAGTTCGATTCTGCTGAGAATGCATATCGCTTATCACCAGCGAACGCCGAGCATCGACCTGTTTGCGGTCACTTTGTACTAAAGGTTGGACGTATTTTTGTGCATTGAAGAAAAAGGTGTTATATTCTATGGCAATTTCCCACCATATATGAAACGGAGCGGCGGCGAGTGTGAGTTTTTCGTCGGCCGTTTTGAAAAGAGTCAATCAACTATGCGAGGTGACAACAAATACGCACAATGGCGCAGAACCATTTTTTTTTCAACATTTGCCGGACTTGCTGAGACGTAACTCACGTATTTATAGTCGAGAGTGCTAAAAGAATCACGTGTTGAGAAATTGACGCCAACGCAATTTTTCCAGCCTGTAGCATACTCAGGCAACGGATAGGACCCCTCCGCCGGAGAAATGGCAGGGTCGCGCCGTTTCCCCAGCGGTGGGTCTCCCATTTGTCCGGCGGAGCCCTCCCATTTTCTGCTCCGGATACCTCCCATTTCTGCTCCGGATACCTCCCATTTTCTGCTCCGGAGGCCTCCCATTTTCTGCTCCGGATACCTCCCATTTTCTGCTCCGGATACCTCCCATTTTCTGCTCCGGATACCTCCCATTTTCTGCTCCGAAGGCCTCCCATTTCTGCTCCGGACCCCTCCCATTTTCTCCGGCGCGGCTCTCCCAAATTTGGCGGACTCGAGCCGGACAAATTTCTCCGGCGCGAGTCCGCCAAATCTGGCAGAGTCGCGCCGGAGAAATGGCGGACTTTGCAGCAGGGCCGGAGAAGCCTCCCACTTGCCTGCCAGTGATGTCACCGCGATGGACCGCCCATTTGCCCCTCTCTCATTGGTCAACTGGGTCCGGCGCGAGTCTGGCAGATTCGGACTGTCCGGCGGAGGGGTCCCGTCCATTGTCTGAGTAGATATCTGATACTTTTCTTTATCACAAGCGTTTGACTGATGCACATTTTGCATAGCATTCATATCTGTAGAGTTGCTTACTAGAGAACAAGTGCAGCTACAAGTTTCTAGAATTACTTTTGGAAGAAAAAGTTTTGATAAGCCCTGGACTAGCGATGACCAACACTGTCGTCGTCGTCACTAGCGATGTCCCAAAAAACACTGAACGACCAAGGGTCCCAAAAGACCATTTTTCATCTTTAACACATCTTATATATAAAGCTGAATGTCTGTCTGTATGTCTGTCTGTCTGTATGTCTGTCTGTACGTATGTGCGGAATAGAAATTTTTATTTCTGGACCGATTTGGACCAAACTTGGCATACATATACTTCGGGGCAGGGAGCGTGTCATAGGCTACTTTTCGTTATCGATCGATATCGATTTTTTGCAAAATTTGAGCTAGGGGGCTGGGATTTTGCACAGGGGGGACCCCGGAGGGGTTGATCAGCATGCTCGATTACTCCCCTGTGCAAAATCCTAGCCCCCTAGCTCAAATTTTGCAAAAAATCGATAAAATCGACATCGATCGATAACGAAAAGTGGACTATGACACGCTCCCTGCCCCGAAGTGTATGTGTGCAAAGTTTGGTCCCGGGCGGAGCCGGGTTTGCCATCTAGTAAAATATAATACTACGATATCCTCTTGATCTCCTCGCCGTAGATAAATAAAACTTTGAAAAGCTTGTCAAGAAAAAGATGAAGAACTGCTAATTGCCCATAAACAGTATTTTGAGATGGTTTCTGGCCATCTTCTATTCTGTTCGAGAAAAAGATCGTTGGACAGGGATCTTTATTTTTGGCATCATACATGAAGAATATGAGAATTATTTGTTCTTCCCTACTATGTACGCGCATACAGTGCTTAATTTTCGCTTTTCCTCTGCTTCACTTGCGACTTATCTGCATGATTCTCATCCTTTAAGCAAGTATGCATCTGCGTGGAAAAAAAGTAAAAAAGAAACTGTTACATTGAAAACACCAAAAAGAATAGTAAGAGAAAATTCACAGTGGACTACCAAGAAGAAAAATGGTTTTGAATTCCTCACCAGATAATCATATAATCGGATCTGATAATTGTCTACATGGAAGCGAAACCTGATAAATGAAAACCGCGTCGAAAAACTTACAAGGGAAGTACTATCAATGGCCGTGACCTTTTGATATGAGATGCATAGCATCTGAAGCAGCTTCGAACGCTGATTTTCAAATCTGCTTTCCGTTTTTGCGGAACGCTCTTCTGAAGAAAGTTATGGAAGCCTGAACATTCTATTTTGGGGGCGCTCCTCAAGTTTGAGGGCGCTGCTATGTGCATTGGTGGCAGGGCCCGGCGAGGGTGGCGCTTTCACAAGCTGGATATCGTTTTTGGCCCGAAAAAGTAAAGGGAAAGTCGTATTTTGGGGTCCGGGGCTCCGCCCCGGACCCCAAAATACGAATTCCCCTTTGTTTACCGATAAACAATGCACATATTATTCTTTATTCATCATTCCTTGTTGATGCTACTGTCCTATGAACTTAGATTCCAGCAATGTGAAGATTCTGTGCTCCGATCGCTAGCCTGCCCGCAGGCGGGAATTCAAATCGCAATTCTTGTAAGAGGGAAATAACAAAATAGGCTCGTTTTCAATGCACAAGTAACGATATGGCACCAAATTTGCTGTATAGTTGGAGGACCATAAGCACAAAAAAAGTATGAAGAATTATGAGAAACTTATGTGAATTTAAAAAATGGTAAGTGTTTTTCGAAATTAGGTGGCTCCCGCGCCACCTGGGAGCCACCTGGGGTGGCTCCCTGCTTCCCTTCACATAATTTCCCGGATTTCTTTACATAAATGTGGACTAGGTCGAGAGTATTACTATATGTTTAAATCCGCTTCCAAAACCACCAAGGCACCGCTTCGATACAGCCCCAAATAGGGTTCACAGCGTTATGATCGGCCTCGGAAAGCGCGCTCCAATCGCAATCGGTGCACCTTGCACGGACGACGCGGAAACTTCGAGAATTTGACTTTTTGCTGAATTAGTGATCGCTTTGAAGCAATCTTCACAATTTTTAAATAGATTGCTTCTTCGACAAGCCCTACAAGGGCTCAGAAAGGCCAGAGATCATATTTGGTCGTGATGTTCTATGCAAAAAGTTGTTTTTGTGATTGTGTTTCTTCAGTTTTCGCAATATGGTCGATTTCTCCATACTTTCGCTGTTTTGGGTCGTTTGTTTTCGCGTTTTCCTTTATTCTGGTTGTTGCAGGCATGCTGTCTTCAAAAGTTGAGGAAATGTTTTTGACAAGATCGAGTCGAGTAAAGTCGGTGGACCTTCATCCCACGGAAACGTGGCTATTGGCGGCTCTTTACAGTGGAAGCGTTCAGATATGGAATTACGAAAGTCAGCTGCTTCTGAAGTCTTTCAAAGTAGGTTTATTTTTTTGAACTTTCATGTATTTTTGTATGTTAGGCCCCGGCCAGACTTCGCTCAAGATAGCTCATCCAAGAATGACTTCCTATCCCGCAAATAGTTAAGCGCTGCCAGGTGTTCTTGTACATATGCGTCGTGAAAAGGGGCCTTTGGTGTTTTTGAGCGGTTCTGGGCTGTTCAGTTGAAGTCTGGCTGGGGCCTTATGTTGCTTACTATGTTTCAATCCAGTATCTTGCGCTTTCTTCAGATATGTGATTTGCTAGTGCGCGCTACCAAGTTTATTTCACGCAGAAACTGGAGTTACCGGCTCAGATGACATGCATGTCAGAATTTTCGACTACAGCACGTCGCACTTAGTTCACCAATTTGCGGCTAATTCGGACTATCTTGGGTAGGTGGAATGGTGCATTTATGCAAATGTGTTACATGGCATCGAATTTTTGCATTCGTTTTTGTACATTTGTAATTTTTTGCTTTTTCTTTGTGTGTTTTCCTTCATTGCCTCCAATATTTTTGTGGATCAGCGAGACCCATATTTTCAATGTGTTTCTGGTCTGGACGATCCCTCACTCGACAGAGTTTACGCGATTTGATCGTCGCGATTGAATCGCGACAAGACAACTGTTAGGCCCCGGACAGACTTCACGCCACTTAATCGTCGCGATCTAATCGCCAAGATTTCCATTCATTTTCATTTCACTTTCAAAAATTTCGGGTTGGAAAAGTATCACAACCGAATGCAAGTTGATCGGCATGGAATGATGTTGTAACAGTTGTCTCGTCGCGATTCAGTCGCGACAACCAAATCGCGTGAAGTCTGCCGGGCCTTACGAGTTCATTGCATGCCGACCAGCTTGCACTTCGGGACTGTCAGGGACTTACGGGGTCAAGAATAGGGTCAAAAGGGAAGTCGTAAGAAATTTTGGCTTCAGAGGGGATATCGTTTTCAAAATCCTGAAATGCCACCTCCTGCCGGGCCCTGATTGGTGGTGCAGTAATGTAGTAGTTAGCTGCTGACATTGAAGGCGAGAGGTTGATGGTTCGAATCCAGTGGAGAGCGAACTATTTTGCTTATTAAATGTGAGTTTGAAGGCACTCTAAATCGCCTGCAGACACTTACTGTAATGCCTTTGGCACAAGTCACCTAGAAAAAGAATTTTCTGGCAAAACTGCTCGTAATAAGGTCTGAAATTCTATTTGACTTCCTCACTAGTAACAGGAGTTAACATGGCCTAGCACGTTCGTCACCACATAAAGCTCAAAAAGTGCACACTGTCATTAGTCGAAAAGATGTTCTCTCCTGTTTGTACTAAGGCATTACAGTGTCTGCAGACGATTTGGAGTGCTTAAACTCACATTCAAAATGCAAAATGGCTCGCTCTTCCCCGGATTTGAACCATCAACCTTTCGCATTCAATGTCAGCAAGTAATCATTACACTACTGCACCACCAACGCACATCGCAGCGCCCTCAAACTCAAGGAGCGCCGCCAGAAGAGGATGTTCAAATTTCCATAACTTTCTTCAGAAGAGCGTTCCGCAGAAACGGAAAGTAGATTCGAAATCAGCGTTCGAAGCTGCTTCAGACGCATCTCATATCAAACAGCCACGACCATTGAAAGTACTTCCCTCGTAAGTCAGACAAATCATGGGAACTTCCCGAGGACAAGTTAATTTGCGAAACTTTCCGGGAGCTTGATTTAGTACTGAGCTGAAAGAAGGCGAAAAAATGGGATCCTCTCCAGAAAAATGACGTCTACAGCAACAAAGTCTGGAACTTTTCGAGGAAATCCTCGGGGAAGTTCCCTCAAATGTAGTGCTTCTCGAGGCCTTGAATGTGAGGGAACTTCCCCAAGGCTTTTTCTTAATAAGATTTTTAATGTCTTGGTGAGTATAATGTCAGCACAAGCCAACGATAAACATCTTCTTTATTCAAAAGCTTCTTGAGATTAAACTTCAAATTACTCAACAGGGGTCCTCTAGTTCCATTCTACCGTATGAAGTAGAGAGCAAGCAAAGCTACATTGGCCACTGCGCAAGACGAGATTTTTGCCAATAAAGAGAAGAGCTTAGACAGTTAAAGACTTTGTTCATGGACATCCGAAGCATATTTTACATATAGTTGCAGTATGTATTTGTGTTTGGAGGAGGGGGGGGGGCTGAAATCTCAATCATCCATGAATCTGCCTTGACATTTCTTCTGTAAATACTGCGTACATATTTAAGATAAGCAACTTCAAGACTTCAGCGTGTGCTCGGAACTTCCTTGCCAAGAGGGTATACACACAGGAAAAGGGTTGTTGTAAGCCATCTTTTCAGCGTTCAAGTTTGGACAAACCCTAGGAATGTTGTTATGAAGAACCTGAATTTTATCATGTCTTTGTATCATGTTTTAAAAAAATCAGATTTCCTCTTTTAATGTGCGAGATATTTTTTCATGTACGCTTTTAAAAGTGCGAACAAATCACAAATGCAATGCTCATTAATTCTAGATATCATTGTGATGTTCCTCTAACTTCTTCTGATGCTGTGAGAAGAACTTTTCTTGCAAATTGCTCAAACGTGATAAACTTTTAGGACACTTATTCTTTGTGTAAGTTACTACTGCTAGAACAACAGCGGAAGATAATTCATCATATATAATTTTTGGAATCCTTTCTTAGGGAATTCCTTTGAAAAACTAAAGCTAACAACTAAACTTCAAACAGTTTGCAATAATCCTTCGAGCCTTCCATCTTGAAGCAAATACCACAGAGGCTAGCATTCAAAAGTATTATCATGCATTCAGAATTGTTTAGATTTGAATTCGAGTGAATTTATGCAGCAGAAGGTTGACATGCACTCGTTCAAGTGAAAATAGTCTACACATTTTTCGAATCAAAGTTTCCAGAGAAGCAGTATTAGCAAAAAATTGCAACGGTGCTCAAGTACCCTTCCAGTAAGTATGGATCCGATGAATCACAGCGAAGTTTTTGTTGATTAGGAAAACGAGCAATTGACCAAATGATCAAATGGCCAAATGAACTAAATATTGAAACCGAAACGGAAATTTTACCATTTAACCAAACTCTCACCTTTGAGATGAAATTTGGTACGATATTTTTTGAAACAGATCCGAAAATAGTCTAAAGTATAGGCGGCAAAGTATCTGCTGCTTATATCAGGGACAGAGTGTTTCCTTTTTTTTAAGCATATTCATCTGAAATAGATTTCTAACATAAAAACAGCAATAATAGTTGATAATTACCCGAGAGATGTACCTAGATCATTACTCCGAGACAATTTGCGTTAGAACAGGTGAGGCCGTGTACAAGCATGCCATGTTCAAGCTTATCATAGGAGCTTATCAGCTTATCACAGCCAAGCTTGAATCAAATCTCATTTTCATTTCAACATATCGTCCCCTCCACAGCTGCTGCTACCATTAAAGGCGGTAGGTCGGCAGAATGAGACCCGTGGCAAAACAAGGTCACGGTAGGAGCCCCCATAATGGAACCTATGGGCCAAAGTTCGATCTTTCTCTGCCACTTCTAACCCCCTAAATTTTAAAGCGAAAGCAGCGCCCATCTCCTTCCTCTCCGAACCCGCCCACCCCATGGACGAGTGACTTCCGCGGTCAGAGCGCCAGCCGCAATGCTATAAGCATGAGTCCCGCAACGACTCTGCGTCTTCGCCATGACGGGCTTCGCGTTCACTCGTCCATGGGGTGGGCGGGTTCGGAGAGGACAGGAGATGAGCGCTGCTTTCGCTTTGATTCGGGGGTTAGAAGTGGCATAGAAAGATCGAACTTTGGGCCATAGGTTCCATTATGAGGGCTCCTACCCTGTGACCTTGTTTTGCCACGGGTCTCATCCTGCCGACCTACTGCCTTTAAGGGCCGGGCATACCGGTCAGCGATCTATGCGTCGCGAGTATTTCTGAAGGACAAGCGTTACATGTGGGTAAGATCCCCGTCAATACGTGCTAGCTGTCCGGCGCGACGCACCGCTGATCGTTTTTGTTAGGCTATATAAGGGCCGGGCATACTTCACGCGATTTCAGTCGCGACACACGCGAATTGGCAACTCGCCAGAAGTCTTCGGATCCAACATTAGCAAACTGCACATGTATAGTGTGTACAACTTACGCAGACTGATGAAATGTCCTATCTTCTGTACATTTATAATGTGCTTACCATGAGTCATGGACACTTGGAATATTGCCAAATCGAGTCGCGATTGAAATCGCTTGTAGTATGCCCAGCCCTATACCCATTCGGACGAAATCTCCACGATCTTCGCTCATCTCAGCGAATTCGCGTCACTCATTTCAAACTTGCGAAGGACGCATCGCATGGATTGGGATTTCTTTCCGGAAGATTTTAAGATGGTCTTTTACTTTTTAAAGCTAGTTTTTTGCATAAGTAATGCGAATGAGTCCACTATTCTCCGAATGTATTGGTTTTCTCTAGTCATTTGTCTCTTAAGGGCCGGGCATACTCCACGCGATTTGGCATTATTCCAACTGTTCATAACTCACTGTAAGCACAATTCAAATGTACAAAAGATATGGTATATCATCATTTCATCATTACATATAAAAGAATCGTAAGGGGTACACTATGCATTTTTTGCAGAGAAGGACTTTCGAGCATCCTTCGCTCCTTTAAAACATCGCTGCGGGATCTTGGTATGTGCATTTGGACGGTCCTTTAGTTTCTGCGGATATAAAAGAGGCATTCACTCCAAGAATTCGTTACATTCGTTTTTTGTGTTTGTTTTTTGTTTCTAGTCTCGAAACCCCTTTTTAAACCTATTTTCGGAAAAGAACTTTCGCGGAAGCTTTGTCCTCGAACAAGTGTGAGAAGCAATTTAACCTCAAAATTCAGAACTGTGCTTCCTTTCAGGTATGCGTTTCTCTCTACGGCCGCCATAAATGCCCCTTATCTCCACTTAGAAAACCTTTCTACAAGGATGTTATAGATTTTCGTCTTTTTCCCCAGCTTTGTTCGCTTACATTGGCATTTCCAGTAGAGACAACTATCCTTGAATGTTGCCTCACTTCAGACCCACTTTCTTCCCTTTTTACGAGAGATTTTCGAAATTTCAACAGCATTTACACTTAAGAGATTTCTTCTAATTCCCTCCTCTTAAAGGAACCGTCCACCTTAAGTTAGGGGTGCGGAGTTTTCGACAGTTTACGATATTAGGACACCCTACCGAGCCGATGCCCAAGTCGCGGCAAATGTCGCTTCGGAAGCGAGAAAATCGCTTCGGATTGTTGAAGGCGCAATAAGCCCAAGTCGGCACCGCCTCCTCCAGTAACGCCCGCCTCTCCTTGCGCGACATCCAATCACCGCTGCGGAGAACCGACTTAGGGCAACAACAGCGAGCACCCCTCCTTCCCCAAAAGTCACTCACCCGTGTTGTTTCTGTAGTAGCTCATCTCGATTGCCTGTCAACCGATGATGAGCTTTGGTCTTCGTAAAATGAGATACCAAATGATGCTGCCAATCTTCTACACATCATCATCATTTCATATAAAAGAATCGTAAGGTACAGTAGGAATTTTTTGCAGAAAAAGACCTTTAATAAATCGCTCCGGGGTAATGGCGTGTACCTTTCAGCATGTCCTTTAGTCGACGAATGAACAAATGATCCACCCTCTGAATTGCCGAATGGTGAGAAAGTTGTTTTCTATCATTTCATATCATTTCATATATAAAAGAATCGTAAGGTGGAAAAATGCATTTTTTGCAGAGAAGGACTTTCAAGCAGTCGGTAGTCCTTTGAGGGACGGCCGCGGGACACCCGTGTGCGCGCTTGCACGGGTCCTTTAATTTTTTGAGTCATTGTAGCATTCACGTCATGGATTCGTATTCTCCTTTGATCGTCTTGTAAGTCTCTTGTGTGTTCTTCTCGATTAAGTTGCTACGTTTGGGAGTTTTGGAGATGTTCATTTTCACAGTCATCGCATGTCAGGTATGCTTTCCTGTCTTCGGCTTCCACGAAAGCCTCACATCCCCACTTAGTAGACCTTTTTACCACGTTTCCGTAATGACTTGAATTTTCGTCTCTTTTCCCAGCTTTATTCGCTTACAATGGTATCTTAGTGTGTGAGAGTTGCCTCACTTTTGGCCCATTTTTCGTCCCTTTTTTGAAAGAATCTTAAGATTTTAACAGCATTTTCATTTAAGAGCTCGATTTCCTCTTTCCGTTGGTGTCATTTTCAACACTCTGTCTTCAATGGTGGCTCAGTTATGAGGGTTCAAAGTATGGTGAGGCTTTCTTGTTACTCCATAACTTGGAAAAACAGTATCTTTATGAATTATCCTATTTCCGGGCACCTCATATAAGTCGCATTCGCCGGAGCAAGCAATGGCGCGTAGGCGTTCAAAAAGAATGGCCCGTAGTAAAGCTCGGCCATGGGAGATCTCCCCTGAGGCCCTCATATGAGGCTTTGTTGGGTGAGATGGGGACTGCCCACTTTTCTGTGGTGTAAGTATGCAAGTTCACCCTACAGGTGAGCTTTAGATGAAGCCCGACAGGGAGTTCCCTACCAAGTCATCGGAGATGGGCCGGGCGACGACATAAGGTAAATACTGTGCTAAAGAGGAGAGCATAGAGAAAACCTTCGTAAGTTGCTCCCGAGTAACTTACGAAACACCGCAGTTGACGTTTCTTTGCGGTGCAAAACTCCCAGAACTGCACAATTTCGGGCGTCCAGGTGAGTGAGGATCGATGACAGCTGATTGCGCGACGAAATCGAAAAAAAAATTTTTTTGCATTTTTCTTCCAGTTGCCGCTCGTTTTTCTCAAAAAACCGCTCCAGATAACAGAAGCGTAAATTTACCTTTCTAGCCATTTTTCGCCAAGCGTGATTTTTCCTCGTATAAAGGCCAAAATATTGTGTATTTGTTTTATCTCGTTGCTTGCCAGGTGAAATCTCTGCTAGTGGTCATCGGTTTTTTCAACAGCGGCCGCTATCAAAGGTCGCCAGGCCAAGTAGCAAATATCGTGCCGCTAGCCGCACCCGAACCACGACTTTGCCGCTTGAAACGCTTTAGTTTTATCCATTTGACTAGTAATGCAGAAATGGTAGAGTTCCACCTTTGAAAACGCGAACGTCCAGAAAGTGATCTGCTGCAAATCAATCGCTCCCCTGGCAATGTGCTGAGGCGCGATGAGATCAACTCCGGTCCGCCTCAAGAGAGATGCCCTGATGGGGGTTTACTACGGGCCAATGTGTCTGATCTAATAAACTGAAGACCCGGCGCATGACTGCTCTCCACTGCGTTCATGTCTGAGCATTTGAATGAGAATTTTGAAGATGAAGCAAGTGCTTGAGCAGCACGTGTTTGCCGCTTTTTTGTTTCTTTTTTGCATAATTTTTTTCATTATATCCCATCAAAATATGTTTCTAGGGATTGCTTGGCTGAAAACCTGAAAACCGTAGCCATGCATGAAGTTTTCTTGCGAAGAATTGTGCTCGCCCGGTATTTCAAAAGAACACGAACTTCAGAATCTCCATGCAAAATTGTTCGTGTTCTGTTGAATCTCCATGCAGAATCTACAAAGATGAGGTAGATATCTACTATCTTTTTACTTCCACTTGAGAGTGCTAGCAAAACTTTGCCTTATTCTTAATTCAAAGTGTTTTTGAATCCAGAGCTTTTTCGCTCCTCTACCTTCTAAAGTTCTCCCTCTTCTACCATGTACGGTTCCGTTCGCTGCGAATACGAGTAATACTACTTTCCGTGCTGCATTAAGATCGATCACATCTGCATTATTACACATCTCATCTTAAGCAGATAAAGTGGATCAAGCGGATCAAGAGGACCAAGGATGGCGGTTGCTTTTTCTAGGGCAAGGAAAAGTTTTTCAGAGCTTGCACGCTCAAGAGTGGTTGCCGTCATTTCTCATTGAATAGTAGCAATTAGCAATTACTTTTTCACTCGAAGCGCTGTTTATTATCTTCTCAAATCATGTTGTAAATAGTAATCAGATTTTCTTGACAAAGGCTACTGGGGGAAGCAAAGACTTGCTTAATTATAGTAGAATAGAGTATAGTAGACGTCATGTCTCAGTCATCGCTGCCGTGTGTGATTGCGCAACGTTTTGAAATACTGGGTGCTGTCAGAGAGTCCGCCTGTGCCGTGAGTGCACACTGGAGAGACTTGAAGAAATGAATTCAACGTCTTTGTTCGCTTTCTCATTCTTTTTATTTTGTTTCTCGCTTCTGCAGCAGTTTTTTTTTTGATGTCTTGCCTTAGAAGTCGTATGTGGTCGCGTCGATAATCTCGAAGTGCTCAGTTTTCTACAAAAAAAGGAGAAAAACCTGCAGTTAATAGGATTGGCTTGTCTTTACAGTGTAATGGCTCAGTCCTCATAACTATGTAAAGCAGTTCCCAGTTAAGTTATGTTGAATTTTTGTTTCGCACTGCTAAAATTAGTAACTATGCCGCTTTTTTGTATGACGTCATTACTAATCAATAGGAAGTTCAAAGCATACTTATAGTTGACTGCACGGAATCGCCTGGACTGAGCGCCGCGCGCGTGTTTCTTGCGCGCTAACATTGGCATTCGCGCGCGTGAGTCATCATAGCTCCCGTACCCGGCAGCCGCGTTGCAGGCACGCTCGCGTGCGTTCAGCCTACAGCAACTCGGAAGAATTCGTGCAGGCTACTTACCTAAAGACTGCTCTACATAGTCATGAGCAGAGATTTCTTACACTGCAGATACAGGCGCCCTTACAGCTGGCTCTTACCTTGCTCGACTGCGCATCTTTTTCCTTTCCTATAGGACTCTCTGGCCGCGTCCGGATTTTGAAATGTTGTGCAATGACACACGGCATAGCGAGTGACTGCAAAGATGACGTCTACTATAGCCTGTTTGGCTGCCGTGCTATCCATATTTTCATATAATGTCATAGGCTTCAGGCAGAGTTCATGCGATTTTATTGCCTCGCGATTCTCTTACAAGATAACTGTTACGAGTCTATTGCATGCCGATTGACTGCTTTTCAGTTGTGATAGTTAGTCACGATTGATCGTGGCGGAAAGCTATCATAACCGAAATGCAACTTGATCGGCATGCAATGGACTCGCAGCAGTTGTCTTGTGAGAGAATTACGAGGCGATAAAATCGCGAGAATTCTGAGCGCCGTAGGCCGAATGTTAGTTTCTACCACGTAACAAGTGATCAAATCAAAACTGAGATGCTTTATAAAGCTGCAAACACTTGGAAGAAGCAATGCTCAATCATCTCCATGATTTTATAATCCAATGACTTCAGAATACACTATATTCCTGATTCGCAATGACTGTCGCATCGAACGTCGAGAATTTATCGTAATCTTCACTTGTTCCTTTGATCGTGCTCTGGAGAGTGCTACATAAGTACTACCGTGTGCGAAAGACGGGGTTCGCATGATTATGCCAACTTTTTCAAATGTTTGCCCTTGGCTTTTGTTGATCGTCATGCAGTACGACAAACGAACTGGGAACTGAAATCGACGAAATGCTACTCCTGTGCGTTCGTCAGCAAAATCGAGCGGCATCCTTGTAATATGAGCAGTCTCCTGAGTCAAGAGATTCTTGCATTTCAGCATACGATTATCGGCCATAATTGACAATACTTGCAGCCTTGTACCATTACATAGCCTCTCTTCAATGTTGATATTACGTAGAAGCATTATAATAGCACCGGGTTTCAGCAACAGTCTAAACGGCGGCATTCCAGGAGGCGTCATATTGTGTAGAAACTCTTCGTCATCACAAGGCATTCCAACAATACCCTCTTGCTCACTCACTGGAGTATCTATTCCGTACAGCGCTATAGCTTCACCAGAAATCATTTCTAACACCCTCTCATTCAATTCAATAGCATCGGAATTCCGTACAGTCAGCAGCGCCATACTGCCTATGAGATTAGGATCTCTGAGTACCTGATCTGTGTACATCCATTCGATCACCTCATCTTCGCTTTCCATGCACATCTCCGCTGGTATTTCAACATCTGTTCCATTCGCAGTGAAGTTAGCACCCTCTCCGACACCACGCAACCAGGCAGCATATTTCTCCTCACCTGGACGAAGCCTCATATTCTCATCAAGCACAACAACTTGCATCATCTTCCACAAATAACTCGCTTTCAGAGTCTCGTTGATTGTGTCCAACTTTGTCGCTCCCGGCAGAACAGGCAAAAACTGACACCAATCTCCTCCAAATACCATCACAACACCACCAAACGGCTTCATCCTATTTTCTGGTGCAGCTAAATCACGAAGAAGCCTGTCCACAGTTTCGAACGCAAATCGACCTTGCATGGATACCTCATCCCATATAATCACATCAACATCACGTAACATTATTCCTTGGACAGAAGAAGCATCGACATTCGCGACGGTGTCGGCAGAAAGACGTCCTAAGGGAAGAGAGAAGGTGCTATGTGCAGTACTACCACTTTCGAGAAGAGTTGCAGCTATGCCCGTAGAAGCCACTGCAATTACGGATAGACCGATGTGCTTGAGCAGACGAATCAGCGCGTTAAACGTGAAGGTTTTACCACATCCCGCTTTTCCATAAATAAAAAACATATTTTTATCACCACTCTTCTTCAATTTAGCCGCTTCCAGAACCTTCAAAACGACGTACTGCTGTTTTCTGTTGAGCATACCGATTTCAGACTGTTGATCGTAGTATGCTTTGCCGCTGTCAGTTTCGTCAAAAGCCTCCGAAGAATGGACTTCCACGCCATCGCTCAAACTGTTGATAATCCCGTCCAGTCCACAATCGCTCATTTTCATACCATTTGCTGTCAATATATGCTCAATGTGGCGCAAAGATTTCAAGTCCTCCATCGCAACTGCTTCCGTACATTGCTTAGACCTCATATCCGCTTTAAACTTATTCCATAATTCAAGTGGATTAGACGGCTTGCAATACAGGAGAATATGCGCGAAAAGTCTCCTTATTGCTGATGGCATTTGTTCGGTACAGGCGCATCGTAAGCAATCCTCCCATTCCGAACTCTTCTCAGTATATCCTGCTGCCTGCGCCGCTTCCATAAAGGTACCATACAATATCCCATTGTGAGTTCTCAGATCCTCAAATGACTGAACACCTCTTCTGTAGAGAAGCAACTTCCGCAGAGCATACAACTCAAGCATCTTTGGGTTTACTGAGCATAATCTTGCTATACGACGTCCTTGTCGCTTGTAGGGAACATACTTACCCTTGACAAAGCGATAATTTTCGGCGACCTCAACCCATGTCATATTTTTTGCTTTTTCATCTACTGCAACAAGTTCGAAATATGCCAACAATTTGCTTTTCTGTGATTTGGGCACACATGGCGTTTTACTGAAGTATATGGGCTCCTCATTTGGTAAATGCGGCATCAGTGTTATGACAGTGTGGCTCGAATATTGCATGGGATATCGTAGTATTCGATAGGCAGCCTCGATATGCGATACGTATCTAGCCAGTCTGTACACTTCCCTCATATCTATACTCACCAATTTCTCATTCTTTTCATTCGTGTACATGCTTTTCTCCAGCAATTCATCGTCCTGCACGAGCTCCAACACAACAGCATCAGGTCCTTTGAAGATATATTTGAATATGTATTTGAAAGCTTGAATTGCTGCGCAAACCTCCACATTTACATGACATTCATGCTTCATTAAAAGGTATGGATTTGTAGGCACGACATCTCTATTGGAAGCAAATGTTTTTCCTAGCTTTCCCACAGGAACCACTCTTCCGTCATTCCTTCTACGGTACAACGGGTAACCACCATTGCATAATTCAGTGTGATCCCTATAACGCTTTGGGTATCCTCTTGAGCATTTAGAAGAGTCCGCTTCGCGACAAGCAAGCTCCGGTCGCTCCGAGCAGGGTCCATGTATCATGTGTTTCTTTACGAGGGTGTGAAAACGAAGCTTCTCTTCTCTCTTGGGGTCATCGGCGCTAGGATACTCCGGAATTTCAGCGCATATGATGGAGTCAATCTTTTCTGGAGTATCAATCTTATTTTCCAAAGTTATGAGTAGATGTGCGTGAGGCATTCCTCTTTTTTGGAACTCTATACTCCCATGTAGAGCTACCACTTTACCAAAAATTTCCTTTTTCTTGATGTCATGGAGCAGCTCTGTAAGTCTCAAAAAGAATACACGGCAGCACAGAATAGGATCCGTGATCCATGAGTCGAATTTACCAGGCAAATTATTTTTAATCTCAGGCCAGTCTTGACTCCCTGTAAACGTGATAAATAAATCCGGCTTTCCTAGTCTTTGGGCAACTGCCATGGCATCACTATAAAGCTTCTGGTACCAGCTACGGCTTCCAACAAATTTCTGGGGCAGATTCACTAGCTTTCCCAACTTCACTCCTTTCTCCTTCAGTTTGCCGTCTAGATATCTGAATAAGGAGCTTGCGGTCGAACTTCTCAGTTCCGTACGATGTAATCCAATGCTGCTTAGTCTATCGGCTTCAATTCTTGCAAATGTGTGAAGCACGTATTGCGAGTATAGCTTTCCCGTCCCAATTATACGATGTTTCTGTAAATCTCCTCGACGGGCAAGGATGTAAAGAGCGAACTCCCTTCGTGAGACGAATCGTGTCTTACGCTCATCCTTTGATTCAAGCCTACTATCATCAAAATCATCGTTATTATCTTCTTCGTAGTGTTCTTCCAGCAACAGTCCTGGATCATTTTCACTAATTTTTTTCATCGTACAATGACTAACACGACGTTTTGGCAGTTTTTCTTTCACGAATGTCTGCTCTCCACGAACGAAGTATAACGGATATGTTAACGGATCAATGTTGTAGCTGTGATGTGGCGCTATCGTTTTCCCTCCCCTAGACATGATTCGCAATCCTTCGTTCAGTTCCTCATGAGTTAACATACCACCGTCCTTACTTACATAAATGGCGGCAATCTGATTTTCGAACACAGGTACATTGAGTCTTCCTGAGTGAATATTCGATGTTAAAGACGGCGCAACATCTCTTCTTTGCTTTATATTCATTATAACCTTTGGAGAATCTCCTTCTTGAGTGTGCTGCTTTTGCAGCTCTTCCTTGTATATCTCATACATTGTCATGTATGATTGCACAATGGGATTGTACTTTCGCAGTATATCCATTATCTTACGTAACAATGTGAATTCGACTTTACTATCCCACAACTTCATTGTTTCCTCTATTGATCGTTGTACCTTGAAGTCGTCTGCTATAAATAACTGTGCAAAGCATGCTCTATTGGAATCCGGATTCAAATGACACAGTCCTATATCAAAGCGGCCTTGTAACACCAATGGTCTTTGACCAGAAGATCCTTTGAATGACCTCAAATTTAGGCACAATCCGGCACAAGCTAGCATATTATTTATAGGACGAATCATATAGAAAAGATTTTCATCCCGCAAAGCAGCGTCCCAAAACCAGTCCAACAAAGGATCCCTTCGAGGATTGAACATGCTTTCCGGTACAACCACCTCACCGTCGTTGCAGCAGATAGAAGAGCTTTCTTTCTGGAACAGCAGTGCCCCACATGCGGGACATATTTTGTTCATTTCTCCCAGCGTGAAAATCTCTGCTTTACTGGATCTTATCATCACGTTCCGCATCTTACGTCTCCTACTTGATGAGACAGGAACTTTCATCAACAATCGTATTTCATCCAGTGTTTTTCTTATTTTGTCTTCAGTTGGGAGGTGGATCTCAACAGCAGGATGATTTGACATACGATTTTCTACGAAGGCGCAAATGCCAACCACTTGCACTTCAAACTGCGTCCAACTAAAATTTTTCATGGTAGGGATGAGTGCAAAGCTAGGATTTTCGAAACCGTAAGCAATCGCTAAATTCTTCAGCTCCTGGCGGAAATTATTCTGTACGCTTGTGGCGGTAAAATCAAGGATAACTCCTCGACTTCTACTTGGCGACGTTCTTGTAACCATAGCGACACCTAGTTGCTTTGTCCTATTAAGGTATAAGATGAAGATTGAGGAAACGTGACTTTCTCGCTTACGACATGCGTCACATCCCAAAACGATGAAGTCTGTTTTGTTACGTTTACCATACTTTAAGCGAAGAAACTCAGCAAGAGAACAGGGCGACAACCACGTATTGTCCATTGAGATATGTTTAGGTTTCGTATAGCAATGATCGTTTTCCACATCTCCTACTCTTGCTAGCTTTGTTGGAGGTTCCAAGTCACTGACTCGAATGTCAACATCCTTATCGTTATATTCTTTTGCCGGTTCCTTTTTGACACTCATATGCTGCCACTGCGCCGAAACCCAAGACTCTTTTGGGACTGACATTGCAAACGTACGCTCTGTAGCTTGACCTGCTCTCTCTTCTGGCACATAGCAGGACAAATTTCCATTGTGATCCAATTCCCCTGTTCTACAAAGCATATCGGAAGTTGCTATGCGATTTCTGATGTAGTGCCGATAATCCTGTAAAAACTCAGCTGTGGCAACCTCTTGCACTGTTCGTTCTTCCTTACAGAGACGCTCTGCATACATGCACACGAAAACACCACAACTGTGCCCATCCTCCTGCACATGGACACCACCAGCAGATTCGACCAAAATAGCATCAAGACTTCTGTCTGTAATCTTACGCCATGTCGCCTCCAACTTTGCCCGTTCTTGCAGTGGAAGAAGCCGCGGCGAGTACGAGTAAATATGACCCATTGAATCATACAAAACTATGGTTTTACGTGCAGGCCGTAGCCAGGCAAGGGACCAATGATTGCCGTACATATGCAGTGGAAATAGCAGTTCCCCATCCGTAATCGGATACCCGCGAATGCGATACGCGTCCTGTGTTTGTATGAGACAAGGATCAAGCGGTGTGAACCTGCTCCCATCCGCAACAATACTTATAAACGCATGAATGACTTCATCGCTGAGCCAGCTATTACCACTCAAGCAGGATAGCAAATCCTCCGTCAACTTGTGCTGAGTCCTCACTGTGTAACGCGACTGCATCCCGATACAAGAAGAGATATCAGACTTTCCACACAACTACGAAAGTAGCTAACGAAATCCTTATATTTGTATAATTATATCAAAGTTTTCGTTTGAAGATAGCCGAAAGGAGTTCTCTGTAATAAGGGATATTATAGACGTAAAAATCCCAGTATGTTGTACAAACGTGCACGATGGAGTGGTACGAATGAAATGAAATGAACTACCATACACACAAACACACTTCTATATTTCAAAACAAACTTCAACAAAGTAATATATATAAGAATCACTCCCATACTAGAAAACAATACCTAATGCACTGTTCCATGTGTTAATAGCATCCGTCCTTACGCCAACAAGAGGGACAGTCCTCTTCATCATTCCCAAGCTCTCCCCACAACTTCAGATGCCACTCACACCAGGACAATATCGTCTGCAGTACAATTTCCCGCTCAGATAAACAGTCCAATCCGCACTTCAGCAACCGTGAACCAGTTAACAGTTGAATGAGCTGAGGCATCACAGCATTTGGTATGCCAGATTTAATCAATTTCTTCAGCCAAAAAAAGGCAGTGACCGCTTGCACAGCAATTTTCTTACTTCTGTATACGCCATTTTCAGCACTTAATAAGCACCGCAGGAACAACACGCTATGCATCACTTCATCATATGTGTTTTTTTGGTGACGCAATAGAATGAGACGTTGCCAGCTTGTTTTTGTGCCTCGAGCTAGCCATCAGCCCCTGCTTATAACCTCGTTTTTGAACTCTCCGTTCTAGCCGTTGCACATTGTCAGCTGCAAAGGAGGAGAAACCGAGACGTTTTCACTGTTGATCGCTGACTCTTTGATGAGTACTGTTTTAGTCTCATCTTTTTCGATTACCGTTTTACCTACGATATATACCTTGAGTAGGAGGTTTTTCTCCCAATCCTATAAACTTATTTGTGGCGGCATGTACACTAACTATCGCAGAGCAGAATCCATCCAGAACCCAGAATCCAGAATTCAGCAAGCCTCCCAACTTTTCAAACGGATTCTCACTTCTAGTCTGATGTAACGACTGTCGCGCTTGTGCAATGGAATGTCTGAGGGCATCCGCTTAAATTTCGCAAAGCTTATCCAAACGCTGCCTTTAAAGATTTGGCTATACATGACTGCTGCTTCCTATCGCTATCACTGTTACCGCTGTTACTGCTGTTCAGTAATAGAATGATACGGTGCACTCTTATTTTTCCACACGAGATCTCACCGAGTGGTGAGTATGTTTCTTCTCAAAGCGTATGTATGGTCCGTGTTCTATTTGCCCTTCATGGCGTGCTTCAAAAACATAGAAAAAAATGCACAACACGCAGACTTAGTATTGTTCGACACGCGGGCAGCAGTAGAAACGGTGATGTAAAATCCTTAAATTACTTGCGCAATAATTGATCAGGTGAAGACGTCTAATATACAACTGAGATGAAGAGATGTGTGATTTAACAACTTTGTTAAATTTTACTATTTTTTAATCTGTGGTTTTCGTTCCCCCCTTTGTGTACTCTACCAGCAGCTTCATCTTATCAAAGGCGACCCCGTCACCTATGGAAAGGTCGGTGAGGGAATGACTCCCCAATCATTTCATATAAAAGAAACGTAGCGTACGGTATACTTTCATTTCGTAAACAACTTTTGTAAGAAGCACCTTTTTGTTTGCTAGCTTTATGCTGTTGCTTTGAATTGTATTGTTTGTCTAGTCCGCATGTATTTTAGTTTCAAATTTCAGCTTATTCGCTATGAGTTATCAAGTACTCCTGAATGTGCGCGGGGAAAGATATCTAACTACCACGAAAACGCTTAGAAATTGTCCGGATACGAATGACAAAAGTCTTTTCCTGAAGCTTTCTATTCCGGTGGGTAGATTCTTCGCATAAGGATTATTTATTTTTTATGTGCAGCGCACGGGAGAGCTCTATCTCGATAGAGATCCAGAACTTTTTCAATGTATTTTCCTTTATTTGCTGGATGGAAAACTTGTGTTGCGATACTACGACGACCTCTTAATCGAAATGCTTCAAGAAGAAGCAGAGGTTAGCACTTGTTCTGCCCAAATTATGCGAGATGATTGGCTACGAAAATTGTACCATTCGATGCAACTTTTTTCCTCTTTCTACCAGCTGCCTTCTCTTTGCAAAACATGCTCAATTAAGGACGAAATCACGGTATTTCTCATTTTGACGAAGTTCAATGAATCTAGTTTGGTACTCTAAGATTCAAAACCCTTATGTCTCGAAACAAAATTGCTCAAACAAAAGTTTAGAAAGTTATGTATCAGTACGCACCTGTGCGATAAGAGATGGTGAAATTTAGATATAGGTGATTTTGTCGGCAAGAGTCGTTTTTATCACAAACAAAAGACGGCTGTTGAAATGTTCAAAAGGTTCGTCCTCCTGCTGGCTTTAAGGGCACTTGACACGTCTTCACCAAAAGTTTTGAAAATTAGTGAAATGTGGACATCTTAAAAGTAGAGGGTGCAAAATTTTGATTGTCTCAGCGCTCCTCATAAAAATCACGTCGCGAGTATAATTGCTGGAAAGAGGAAAAAATTCTGGATTGAATATCTTTTGAAGTATTTGTTTATCATTATTTTGTATGATTTGCGGGTTATCCAAAAAACGGAAAGCACTTTTGCACCATCTAAAAGAGTGCTCATTCAGTATTTTGGTTTGCCTAGTTTGGCGCACAAATTGAGCAAATTGAAGCCATTCCAAGGGGTTTGTATCATTGCAGCAAACGAAGAAACTAAGTATTCTGAAAACACGGACTATGATAGCTAGGTATTTGTAGAGACTGAGCTAAGCACAAGACAAGACCATTCTTTTTGTTTATTCTTTTAGGCTGTACAAGAATGTGGTGGCACCGGTTTTATCTTTTGGAATTTAATGATCAGATCCTGCTGTTATATTTGCTAACGCATAGTCACAATTTCTTTTTTTCTGTGCATGCCCTAATCAACTTTCTCCGAAAATCGAATTTTCTCTCATTCTTTAAAATTCTGTGTATTGCGTCTTGTATGTCGGTGTAACTTTCGGTTTTCTTTTACAAATGAAATGATTTTTTTGTTATCGTGTGCAACTGCCAATGATTACAAAGACTCGAAGATGGATCGCCTGTCTCTCAGCTAAAATGTGCACGATTGTAATCATTCACAATCACGTCAATCGCCAAGTAAAAGCAGTATTAGTGATTGACTCAGTGTACGGTTAAGATTTTGCAAAAGAGTACAACTTATTACCCTTCTTTAAGGGTTTTATCGAAATTGCTTGTTGTTTTCAAAGGCAAATTATCTGGTGAAGTAACTACAGAAGTTGATAATACGTCTAAAAAGAAGCAAGGTGTTCTTGAGGATCCGGCACCTTTTGTACATGCTTCTCTCTGCAAAATTTGTGATCATTAGAAAACTTGTGATGACCTAGGAGCCGAAAATTGGCATGACAATTATTGAGTGCTAAAGGCGATTTGGCACGTGGAGGTAACTGGATTGCTAACTGGCACTTCACCGACGGGAATTCTTTCTTAACTCCTAGCAACGATTTTGGTTAATTTGAACGTTGTATCTTGGTGTAACTCTGCAAGCAGTCATACTCTTTTCACTTAGACTGTATGCGCACCATGCCTTTCCAGCTGAACTTTTTGATCAAAACATCACTAGATGAAGTTTATCAGCTTTTACGGCATTGAAAAATTGTTATACGAGGTTTTGATGACCCGATACAATATTTCTCGCACCTGGTAGCCAACGGGCCGCTAGTTACATATAAAAGAATCGTAAGGGGTACACTATGCATTTTTTGCAGAGAAGGACTTTCGAGCATCCTTCGCTCCTTTAAAACATCGCTGCGGGATCTTGGTATGTGCATTTGGACGGTCCTTTAGTTTCTGCGGATATAAAAGAGGCATTCACTCCAAGAATTCGTTACATTCGTTTTTTGTGTTTGTTTTTTGTTTCTAGTCTCGAAACCCCTTTTTAAGCCTATTTTCGGAAAAGAACTTTCGCGGAAGCTTTGTCCTCGAACAAGCGAAGCAATTTAACCTCAAAATTCAGAACTGTGCTTCCTTTCAGGTATGCGTTTCTGAGAGATACCAAATGATGCTGCCAATCTTCTACACATCATCATTACATATAAAAGAATCGTAAGGGGTACACTATGCATTTTTTGCAGAGAAGGACTTTCGAGCTTCCTTCGCTCCTTTAAAACATCGCTGCGGGATCTTGGTATGTGCATTTGGACGGTCCTTTAGTTTCTGCGGATATAAAAGAGGCATTCACTCCAAGAATTCGTTACATTCGTTTTTTGTGTTTGTTTTTTGTTTCTAGTCTCGAAACCCCTTTTTAAACCTATTTTCGGAAAAGAACTTTCGCGGAAGCTTTGTCCTCGAACAAGTGTGAGAAGCAATTTAACCTCAAAATTCAGAACTGTGCTTCCTTTCAGGTATGCGTTTCTCTCTACGGCCGCCATAAATGCCCCTTATCTCCACTTAGAAAACCTTTCTACAAGGATGTTATAGATTTTCGTCTTTTTCCCCAGCTTTGTTCGCTTACATTGGCATTTCCAGTAGAGACAACTATCCTTGAATGTTGCCTCACTTCAGACCCACTTTCTTCCCTTTTTACGAGAGATTTTCGAAATTTCAACAGCATTTACACTTAAGAGATTTCTTCTAATTCCCTCCTCTTAAAGGAACCGTCCACCTTAAGTTAGGGGTGCGGAGTTTTCGACAGTTTACGATATTAGGACACCCTACCGAGCCGATGCCCAAGTCGCGGCAAATGTCGCTTCGGAAGCGAGAAAATCGCTTCGGATTGTTGAAGAGGCGCAATAAGCCCAAGTCGGCACCGCCTCCTCCAGTAACGCCCGCCTCTCCTTGCGCGACATCCAATCACCGCTGCGGAGAACCGACTTAGGGCAACAACAGCGAGCACCCCTCCTTCCCCAAAAGTCACTCACCCGTGTTGTTTCTGTAGTAGCTCATCTCGATTGCCTGTCAACCGATGATGAGCTTTGGTCTTCGTAAAATGAGATACCAAATGATGCTGCCAATCTTCTACACATCATCATTACATATAAAAGAATCGTAAGGGGTACACTATGCATTTTTTGCAGAGAAGGACTTTCGAGCATCCTTCGCTCCTTTAAAACATCGCTGCGGGATCTTGGTATGTGCATTTGGACGGTCCTTTAGTTTCTGCGGATATAAAAGAGGCATTCACTCCAAGAATTCGTTACATTCGTTTTTTGTGTTTGTTTTTTGTTTCTAGTCTCGAAACCCCTTTTTAAACCTATTTTCGGAAAAGAACTTTCGCGGAAGCTTTGTCCTCGAACAAGCGAAGCAATTTAACCTCAAAATTCAGAACTGTGCTTCCTTTCAGGTATGCGTTTCTGAGAGATACCAAATGATGCTGCCAATCTTCTACACATCATCATTACATATAAAAGAATCGTAAGGGGTACACTATGCATTTTTTGCAGAGAAGGACTTTCGAGCTTCCTTCGCTCCTTTAAAACATCGCTGCGGGATCTTGGTATGTGCATTTGGACGGTCCTTTAGTTTCTGCGGATATAAAAGAGGCATTCACTCCAAGAATTCGTTACATTCGTTTTTTGTGTTTGTTTTTTGTTTCTAGTCTCGAAACCCCTTTTTAAACCTATTTTCGGAAAAGAACTTTCGCGGAAGCTTTGTCCTCGAACAAGTGTGAGAAGCAATTTAACCTCAAAATTCAGAACTGTGCTTCCTTTCAGGTATGCGTTTCTCTCTACGGCCGCCATAAATGCCCCTTATCTCCACTTAGAAAACCTTTCTACAAGGATGTTATAGATTTTCGTCTTTTTCCCCAGCTTTGTTCGCTTACATTGGCATTTCCAGTAGAGACAACTATCCTTGAATGTTGCCTCACTTCAGACCCACTTTCTTCCCTTTTTACGAGAGATTTTCGAAATTTCAACAGCATTTACACTTAAGAGATATCTTCTAATTCCCTCCTCTTAAAGGAACCGTCCACCTTAAGTTAGGGGTGCGGAGTTTTCGACAGTTTACGATATTAGGACACCCTACCGAGCCGATGCCCAAGTCGCGGCAAATGTCGCTTCGGAAGCGAGAAAATCGCTTCGGATTGTTGAAGAGGCGCAATAAGCCCAAGTCGGCACCGCCTCCTCCAGTAACGCCCGCCTCTCCTTGCGCGACATCCAATCACCGCTGCGGAGAACCGACTTAGGGCAACAACAGCGAGCACCCCTCCTTCCCCAAAAGTCACTCACCCGTGTTGTTTCTGTAGTAGCTCATCTCGATTGCCTGTCAACCGATGATGAGCTTTGGTCTTCGTAAAATGAGATACCAAATGATGCTGCCAATCTTCTACACATCATCATCATAACTTATAATAACGGGCTAAGGGTTGTTTACGTTTGTCTGTCTGTGTGTGTGTGTGAATCTCTGTCTGTCACGAAATTCGTAGAGCGTGTTCCAGCCAACGTCCTGAGCCCAAATTTTGCATAGCGCACGCTACCAGCATGAAAGCTCACTATACAAAATCATGAGCGGATCCGTTGAGTGGATCCATTGAAAATTGCGCATCAAACGGATCCACTTTGCTTCTGGCCAGCAAATTTGGGTCCGTAGTATTACTTTTTGCAGAGTTAAGGATATATTTGACAAGCTAATGTGCAAGCCATAGATGTTAGCCTAAAAAAGTAATGAAAAGTCTACTACTTTAGGAAAACAGCGCCAAGAAGCATTCGCTGTGTAAACGGTCAATTTTTCAAGATTCTACCTGATCATTTGAGAAGATTCTTGCACAGCGATGTAGCCCACTATGTTTATTGTCCTTACGGCGACTACCAAGCCATAAAAATTCCAAAAACCTATTCAAATTTGCATCTGTTCTTCTGGGAAAGGTTTCATCCACGCGAAAATACCGATCTCACATGGAAAACCTCTACGAATGAGTAGTTGTTTACGAATTATTCGTGAGAGCCTACATAGCGCGGTGAGTTTTAATGGCATTATTATGTGGGAATGAGTAAGGCATACAGAAATTAGGGCCAGTGCGAGCCTCTGCGAAGCAGAGGTGACGCACTGGTTACATATAAAAGAATCGTAAGGGGTACACTATGCATTTTTTGCAGAGAAGGACTTTCGAGCATCCTTCGCTCCTTTAAAACATCGCTGCGGGATCTTGGTATGTGCATTTGGACGGTCCTTTAGTTTCTGCGGATATAAAAGAGGCATTCACTCCAAGAATTCGTTACATTCGTTTTTTGTGTTTGTTTTTTGTTTCTAGTCTCGAAACCTCTTTTTAAACCTATTTTCGGAAAAGAACTTTCGCGGAAGCTTTGTCCTCGAACAAGTGTGAGAAGCAATTTAACATCAAAATTCAGAACTGTGCTTCCTTTCAGGTATGCGTTTCTCTCTACGGCCGCCATAAATGCCCCTTATCTCCACTTAGAAAACCTTTCTACAAGGATGTTATAGATTTTCGTCTTTTTCCCCAGCTTTGTTCGCTTACATTGGCATTTCCAGTAGAGACAACTATCCTTGAATGTTGCCTCACTTCAGACCCACTTTCTTCCCTTTTTACGAGAGATTTTCGAAATTTCAACAGCATTTACACTTAAGAGATTTCTTCTAATTCCCTCCTCTTAAAGGAACCGTCCACCTTAAGTTAGGGGTGCGGAGTTTTCGACAGTTTACGATATTAGGACACCCTACCGAGCCGATGCCCAAGTCGCGGCAAATGTCGCTTCGGAAGCGAGAAAATCGCTTCGGATTGTTGAAGGCG